GACTTTTTCCTACAAATGCCAATTCTCTTTCCTGCTGAAAAGTATATAGGAGGGAGATGTTCTTTTTCGGGAGAGGGGGCTGATGGGGTGATTCATCATAAGAAGAAAGAATCATGCTTGGAGATTTTGGGGCTCTTAAGATTGTGCTTACATGCATTTTACATATGTTGTAGCTGTAGTAGTTGAATGTGTTCTGTGTCTATTCCATTTTACATGAAAATGTCCATTCTTCTTTCTGTTTGGTGTGTCTTCCACCCCAGAAGAGCACTCAGTAGAGAATGGCTGGCTGCTTTTTAGTGTACAGTGCAAAAGTTAAAATTTGTGTAACAATATCCTTTCACCATGCTTTTAAGAAGCAAAAGAAGGGGTCTTAATCAGTAATACAGTAGCCTGTCACAGCTTAGTAGGAAAAACAGGCCTAATGGTTGCTGAGATTAGAAATAGCTTTAAGGGGCATTATATGTCATTATAACATGGTGGCATAGTGAAGCTTAATAGGCACTACAACATCCTTTTGTTTTTATGTTTCCCTGAACACTCAGTTCTGTGATAGGTGGCTATTCCTGTGTAAATTTGCTCAATTATATTTGTGTAGCAGCCCTGAAAAAGCCTTAATATATTTACCATTAAAAGTCACTGACAGTCTTTGGAGAAAAGTTTTAGTATGCCTTTGTGAATAGAGGGTTTGAATGATATGTTGTTTTTTAGGTAATTTATAAATATTATATTTAGTTGATGCATGCAAATATGATAAAATATGCATTTTCCATTGCATAGTTAACATAGTCTGTTTTATTATATTCTATTTATGTTTTCCCAAGGGCAATGAGAGAGATGAAGGAAGTTAAGTTTTCATTGAGCATTTTGTTTCATAGGCATTGGTGGCATAAAACATTTAGCTGTTTTTCTTGAGAAACAGTAGTTTCAAATATTAAATTGCCTTTACTATTTATCTCAAACATGTTTATATCATGGGAATTACCAGTGTGAACAAATACAGAGTATGCAATTGAAAGCAGCACTTTAAACAAGAAATAAGCATGTTTAGTTTTGTGATTAAAAGTTGAAATGTTACTAGTGAGAATCCATTCTTCTGAAATTTTCTATTTTTTTTTGATATTTCAGTAAGCTGTGGGCCCTTCCATATTAATTAAAACTTTCTTTATTCATATTTTGTTGTTGTAGGCTTCGTCTTTGGCTCCAAATTCAGCCAAACTATTCATCTAAGATTTGGAAGACATTTTTGTAGCATGTATATTGACAGAGACTTAAATAAGTCAACTTTTATTTTATAAGGGCCTCTCTGCCATTCCTGAGTTGAGTGGACAAGAAAATATATTGAAGTAAAATTGTACCATGAGGTTAGAAAACAATTTTAGGGTTCTTTGAAAACTCATGAAGTGTATCTCCAGGTTAAGTAGACTCCTATGGAATCTATTGGCCAGAGACAATTTCATATTATTACGCATTTTAACCTTTCTTTGCAAGTCCTGAACTTGTGGTATGCAGACCATACCATGGACTGCATACCACCTACCATGAGTATAAATATATACACACCTACTGTGAGTATAAATATATTTTATATAGTAAAATATACATATAACACTGTTACATGTACATGTTCCCATAGCAACAGTGTTGAAAATACTGCATAAAATGAAATTGTGAGATTTGTAAGACCAGTAGAACTAAGCAAATAGAATAGGCAAGTTGTTTACAGTAGATGGAAAGAAATTTTCTATTGCATAAAAAGAATTGCTGCTTTCAAAGGACACTTGAAGTACCTGCATATAATTGAGTTGCCTTTGAATTTACTCAAAAGTTTCTCTCTGACACGGTCAGTTGTTACTCTTATCATGAATGTATTCATGCTTTTATATTTTAGAAGTGCTTAGACATCAAAACTCCAAACACATTAATATCTGGCCCTTCATCTTTATTCAGTTCTTCATCTATTCAGCGCTCGGCATTAGCAATAAGTAGTAACAACTTCTACGCTGAGTTCTCTCAAATCTCCAGACCCCACGTACAATCTTACATGGCTCTTGCCATTCACTGCAGGGAGACAATGAGTGGCTCTGGTGTGGGAACCCCATTCCCAGAACTGGAAGGGTTTGTGCAAAGATTTTTGTCTCCGTGGGGTCAGGTTGGGTCCTGACACAGGGGCTGCAGGCAGTGCCAGTGGCAGCATTGTCCTTGGAAAGAGTCAAGGAAGAAGCAGCAGCAGCAACCCAAACAGGGGCATGATGAAGAGGCAGAGACAGCTGCAGCAGCAGCTGCTGCCTGGCAAAAGTGTGAGGGGAAGGGAACAGTGGGAACAGCAGTAAGTGCAGGATGGGATGAAGGGAGGAAAAAGGCTCAATTGAAGCCCTAAACTGGAGACATTGAGAAGATATGGCAGCAGAAGCCTTCCTGGCTTTTGGCATTCTCCATCCCAGCTGCTTTCTGCTGTGACCAAGGCTGCTGCATGGCCTGTGAATGGTTTCTTTAGGTCAGTGCAGCACGGCTGGGGAAGCCCTGGTGTGGTGCCTGTAGGAGGGCACGTGATGGCTTGTAGTGCACTGTCCAATGGAGGCATCTTCTTTAACTCAGGGGTGCATCCCCTGGGGAATGTTATCATCAGAAACTAAAGTATGTGGGAGGTGTATGTGCTGATAGGTTACAGGTGATGAGGACATTTTCAGAATAGCAATTCCTGATTGGGTTTCCCAGAGCATGGGTTTTTATGCTTAATAGTATCCCCCTTAGAGACAGCATGTGATGAGGAATCCCACACCTCCTTTCTGCCTGAAACACTACTGTCTGAAAGCCAAGTGCTGCAGTGTTGGTCATGGATAAAAAAGCTTCTGCATGCTGAAGCCCTTTTTGTTGAAACAGACCTTAAGACATTTCTCTGTGGTAACACAAGTCTTCTGTAACAGAATCAGAAATTTCATTATTAAAAAGACAAAAAAAGGGGGTGTTGATTTTTTTTCCTAAATGGCAGTAAATTCTTAGTATGCTGATTAGTCCAGGACCCATGAAAACAAGAATCCTTTTCCTTGCAAATAAGTTGAACACTACTTTTGAAAGTTTATCTGCTGTCCTTTTCAGTGACAATAGCAGTAATAGACAAAAGAAGCATTGTCTCTCTGTGACATACAACTAGGCAGGGTAGCACCAACTTAGTGATTGAGGAGGAGGAGGACTGTGGGTGGGGTGGTGTCCTGTGTTTTCCTCAGGGTTACAAGGTTTTTTACTGCACATGTTCATCACCAATAATCTGTAATAAAGTTGTAATTAATAGCTGTTGTGCCCGTAATGTAACCTGGAGGAGTCTCTTTAGATATTGGAAAAAACAATGAAAAATATTGATGGCTGTTCTGGGTAAATCAGTGACTCAGTAGAAAACATTCTGTTGATTTTTGTATTTGCTAGGTAGTCAGGGGATACTGCAGTCACCCCACAGTTGGCCTCCTTGCCAGCTGGCAATACAAGTGGATCAGCATAATTAATTTCAAAATTGGTCAGCAGATTATGCTGGGCAACATTTGCTTCTGAAAGAAACATGAAATAATAGATATATTTGGTCCAACTAGGTTCTCTCCATTTCCTTATCTCATCAGCTCTAAAGATTTCTTTATTTTCTATCTAATACCCCCTGGCAGGGGTGGTATTTTGCCTGCTACATTAACAGATGCTGATGAGTGGAATAGTTTGTTGAAAGCTGAACACAACATCTCATTCTGAGCTGGTGGGAGAGTCCCAGTCTTGCAGCTGTAGGAGAAGAAAGAGTCATGATTTATAGAAGAATAAGGCACTGGCACATTGCAGACACCAGAAACAGTAGTGTAATTCACAGCAGAATTGTGATGGTGACAACTGATGTGTTTTTCAGAATGTCATCTGCCCTCATGTATTGTTTATTTTCATTGCGGTGTAGGAGATTAATGTTTTGTATACTCTTGCATGTATCTAGAATATTGGCCTGTCTACTTCTCCATGTCTAAGTAGTTCAGCCTGCTTGACCAAGCAGCCATGCAGGTGAATGGATGTTCACACATGGTTTCTCTTAGTTGGGCAATTCTCCTTGGCTTTAGTAGTTACTCTGAGAATATGACCTGTAAATTTGCTTCCATTCTGAAAATACCTTTTAAAATTCTTTTAGTAATTACTTTCCCCACAATTGTCTTCCTTAGAAATGAACTCTATGGTCTTTGATTCTTTTAAGACCACCTTTCTTTCAGTATGCCCTGCATGATGCATTTTATCTATGGGCATGTTTGTATTGCCTGGTATCTGTATAACAAGAAGGTATATTGTGTAACACAATCACAGAATCACACAATCACTAAGTTGTAAGAGAACTTGAAGATCATCGAGTCCAACCCGGCTTTAACACCTTAACTAAACCATGGCACTGAGTGCCATATCCCATCATTTTTTAAACACATCCAGGGATGGTGACTCTACCACCTCCCCAGGCAGACCATTCCAGTACTTTATCATCTTTCCATAAAAAAACTTTTTCCTAATACCCATTTCCTACATTTCCCTTGATGCAGCTTGAGACTGTGACCTCTGGTTCTATCAGTTGCTGCCTGGTGAAAGAGACCAAGCCCCACCTGACTACAGCCACCTTTCATGACATTGTGGAGAGTGATAAGGTCGCCCCTGAGTCTCCTTTTTTCCTAAGCAGAGCCCCTCAGTTATATATTAGAGGAAACACTAGGTGCTTTTTAGGATATAAGAATTTATCACTGGTGTGAGCACAAACTTATATGTAATGACTGGCCTATCCTTCTCTTTTGTAAAGAGACACAAAAATCACTCAACACACACTGTCAGTATTTGCTGATACATATGCAGAGACCTCCTTTGCATATGCAACAACTATCCTGGTATCTCTAGGATCAGATCAGGAGGCACATTATGTGAGTAAAAAATGTAACAAAAAGAATACTAGAACATGATAGTGTTGATCTTCTGTAATGCATATTTAATATATTTTCTTTCAGGAGAAGCCACTGACCAAATCTCTGCAACGAGGAGAAGATCCCCAGTTTGATCAAGTAAGACACTTCAAATTACATTATTTTCTTTCCTCAGGCTAAAAGAGGAGTGCATTGGAAGGCATTTTAGTGTCCTTATATTGTTGTTGCATACTACAAAAATAGTATTTCTTGATGTGCTTTGGTTAGAATGATAAGTGCTTACCTAACTATTCTTGTATATAAATTGGAAGAATTTTTCCTCATTTTCCAAGGTCAATATTTTTCTGCCATTGAACTCGTTCCTTTTCTAGCGTATTTGGTATATGTGTTGTTTCTTGTCTTTTTCCCCTGATAGGGAACTTGAAGCAAAATTTGTATCTTTTTGAATTATATGGTTTTTGAAACAGGTGTGTGGCTCTCAATCTTTCTTTTATGAGGTTTCTTTTATAGTTAATATGAGGGACTACAGAATCATGGTTGTTGCCATCAGTCTCAACAGTCTGGTTTGCCTCTGTAGCTGTTACTCAGCATGACTTACACGTGTTGCACTTCAAATAGGCTGAGCCCACATGTTGTGTTTAATATTAAGTTCTATTGTCAGCATAAATGCCTGTATATGACAAGGTAGATAATTATTAGAAAAAAGGTGAGCAGGGAAAAAGTATTAAAAAGTAAGTAGAGTTTATATAATTGATCTGATTTCATTTAGTAGAACAATAAAATTGTAATTAATAAAATGAAATTTATATCTGGCATTAGATTAATTTATTATGTAAGGGAAATAGGACAAGTATAAAAATAAAACCAACGGCAATATACACACTTCTAATTGATTACATAAAGCAATTTATTTTTGTCAGCAGTCTTTCTTTTTGTCAGCAACATCTAGGATAACCTATTTTGAAATAAAGGAAGATAGATACAAAGAGTTTAAGTTACATAAAGGATGCCAGACCTGGCAAATCTCACTCCCACCAAAGAGGAATCATTAACTCTAGGTGTGCCATTGCTGTCACCATTGCTACTGACTCCACATCTGCCCACACCACTGTGCTGCCGTCACGGCTAGAAACACAGGACGGAAAGAGCAGAAGCAGCAGAAGCAGCAACAATTCACAAGGAAGTTATGACCAATGCCATAAGATGCAGGTGCCATATTGATTGACTTTGGGAGAGGAGATAGGTGTAAGTACAACTTCAGAACCTCAGCTGAACATTTATTGAGTTTTCTGAGACATTTCCCAGAAGTTGAGATGCCTTGTGTGACTCTGCTGGCATTCACTAAGATTCACTTTGTAATTTCAGCTTGACAAAGAGACTCTAGGTTGTTCTGTAGTTGCTTTTTGGGGAGAGAGAGCCTGCCTGGAGGGCTGTTCAGAGCAGGAGGTGAGCAGAGGAGGTGAGACTTCTGCTTCATACTCGGGAGCTCCCTTTCTGCCTCACTAACCACAGAGACCCTGCAGGGAAACCAGTCACTGTAGGTAAAGGAGTTTCTTTCTGAGTACTCCCTAGCTGCCTCATGAAATTCTTGGTGGTATTCTGATCTTAACTTTATATACATATTATTTTCCTTCCTATGGGAAGAATGTTACACTCAAATGGGAAAGTAAAACAAATTTAAGCCATCCAGATGCAAACCTCATGATACTGTTCCTGCAGTGCATTAAACAAACTCATAATGGGTAGCCATGATTTGATTAAATATTTATGGTTTAGCAAATTTTGGCCATTTAAAAGGCAGAATTGGAAGACTGATACTTTTCCTTGTAATTGGTAAATAGATAGAAAATTGCAAAATTAAGTCAAGTTCATTTAATGAGAACAGCAAAAGCTTCCTAGAGTGAAACAACTGTGTGTTTACTGCTGTAGTAATTGACTCTGAATGCAGGGAGAAGAAAAACAGATGCAGACCAAACACCAAGGTAAATTTTCCTATATATGACATTCATATATCTTTCTATCCACTTATCTGAAGTCCTACCTATGTAGAGTTGTTAGAAAAGTACAGTGGTGAGATTGATTTAGATGTCTTGTCAGAAAACCTGCTTTCAGGTGCTTGAAATTTTTAAAACAAAATCTTTAAGCTGAAATTTTCAGAATTTGTCAGCCTCAGGCCAAGTTGCTGGCAATGTTTCCCTTTTCAGCTTTTACATTGTTTTCTACTTAAACAGCATTATAATTTTGAGGTGTTCTGGTGCTTGTGGGATTGATATAGGCCTGTGATCACCAGATGGGACCTGAACCTGGCTTATGAGCCCATTTTCAAGAACATGGTTCATACTTACTAAAATTATTTTAATTCCACTACATCCTTACAATCATAAGGATTTAATTGTATTACAGGGTTTTAATTGTGTTCAGTTAGATTGCATTCAAAATTTTGTAGTGTATAATACAGATTATACTGAGCTAGAGTAGAGACAGGAAGACAGAGCAAAAAGTCTTTCTTTACCTGGCATGTTTCACTCACTAGATTATGTGAGTATAAAACTGTTACGTCATATTAAAACTGTTTTTCAAATGATGTGTCAGTATTATAAAGTTGTCATGAAAGTACGGATAATAAAATGGAAGTGTGGTCTGCCTGGGAAGTTCTGAAGATCATGATATGACATGGTACTACAACCAAGTAAGAAGGCATGTGCTTTCCAGTGAAACCATTCAAGTTTTATTTCTGAAGTTAACTCAAGTATTTAAAGTGTTTATGGGATGAGAGAAGACTAGGTTAGTAATCCCTTACTTCCCTTTTCCAGTTAGGGTGCAGAAAGCTTTGGTGTTTATTTCTGAAACCCATAGAGTCATCTAGCAAAACCAAAAAATGCCAGCCATGACCTTCCTGATATTTTTACTACAGAAATGAAGGGAGGAAAGAGGGACAATCCCTATGAACAAACTTCTTCAAGGAGTGTCGAATAATTTTTACTTTCAGTTTTAGGGCATTTAAGTGACAGATATTCAAAGGCATCTAATTTTCTTTCTTTTGACATGATCAAAATTATTCAGTTAAAGTGAAATTGATAAGTAATGCTGAAATGAGTAGGTCATTAGTTACTTTAAAATGTCCAAGCTCAATCTTCTAATGGTAAATTAAAAAATAACAAAAATATGGCATGACCTGATTTAAAACTTGCTTTTTTGCAAGTCAGCTTCAGAGGTAGAACAAAAAAAGCCCGAAAAGTAATTTAACAAGGAGCAGAATGGCACTTTGGCTACCCAAAGTTATCAGCATCAAGTTTAACACTGAAACCCCCAAACCATATGAAAGCATTGCTTACTACCCCTGAAGAGTTCTGTCTCTGGCTCTCTGAGAACCAGCATTTTTTTCCTGCCCCTTCTTAGACACCATTTTAGCAGCGTTGGTGGTGATGGTGGTGATGGATCCAACGTCTGGAAAGCTGACTGAGCCAGGACTGTTTCTCTCCACATAGGTGTAGTCAGTGTCTCCTGTTAGGCAGACAGCATGTCTGGCTGCCAATTGCATCACCCTCCTTGAACAAATAATAGTATCTTGAGCAATGTATGAAGTGATGATACTTATCCCAACTTGCTGAATGTCTCATCATTGGCTAACAAGCTGCATTCCTTATACTATGTTTTGCTTTTTAGGTGTGCATGTGTATAAAGAAAATATATACAGGAAATTGTGTAGGTTTTTTCATATGGTTTTAAATATTTTCATAGTGTATTTAAAATCATGTTTTGAAAGTCCTTGGTTAGACAACTCCATTGCCTATTGGCAAAGTGCATTACAGCTCCAGCATTAGCATGCCCTGTGTCGCCAGCTAAAGAAATGTTATTAAACATTGTACTAGTGAACTATGACTTAAACTTCCTATTACAGGAAACCATAAAGTTGCAGTACATGAAAAGATCAAAAGCTAGCACAAATGCATAATTCTCCAAGAGGGTGATCCTCACCTAAGGAAACATTTTTATTACTCTTTTCTCAGCCTCTGCTAATGTATCATTTGTTCTTACTACGGTGTATAAATGTTCCATGAACTGACAACACTGGAGGCAGAAGGGCACTGTGTAATCTTGGACTGAGCTACAGACTGCTTTCCATATAAAAACACAAAATGAATGTAATGTTTTGGCCATGGAAATGAAAATTTAACAGGAGGGCTTAGTTTTCATATGAAGCTATCTGTCCAAGGAGCCTGTTGCAGAAGTTTCAGCATAAACTGCACAAAAGCTTATTCTTGTTATAGTTTTTACTGCTCTCTTCTTAGAAGTGCACTGTGCTGGAGACTACAGATTGGAAAGCAAAAACATTTAATCTTTTATATACTTTTAGGAGGGGAAAACAAAAACAAAAACAAAAACAAAAACAAAAAAAAAACAACAGCCAAGGTAAAGAAAGGAAACTAAAATAAATAATAACAATAATGAAAAAGTGGAAAATGCAATAAATAAATAAGGTACTAAGCAGCATACTATGATAAAGTGTCCTGTTTCATAACAGCCTAAACATGATTAATGATGTGCTGATAATGATTCTTATCCAATATTATTTTTAGATGTAGTTAGTGAATACTGCTATCATTGTCATTGCAGCAACACTGCAAAACACAAAAAGTGTTTTCCCTTTCCCTGAGTTTTACACTTAGTCCTTCTTCACCAGAAAAAGGCACAGGGTAGAGAAATTATAAGAAATGGTAGTCATGGGGTCATAAAATAACCTTTGGCTCCTGGTCAGAGGCTTGAGTTCAAGCAGTATTTAAAGAAGTACATCTGAAGTCAAAATTAAAGATAATACCTTCAGAACTGAACTTACTGTCCACTAAAAATAAGTGGGTTTTCATGTAAACTGTTATGCTGCTAGTAAAATAGGTATAAACCTTGGTAGTATATAAACATACTAGCTGAAAATTATGGTACTAAAACTTCCTGCTTTCTTTTTTTGCCTCACAAAGTGAAGGCCATTAATGAAAACTAGTGAGTTCAACTTGAATAGTTATCAGTTTTAACCATTTCCAGGGAGATTTAACTTCATGGCACGGTCCAAAAAAAAAGCTTAGAGCAAAGATGTGAATGAAAGGAGATCTCAATCACAAATGCATTCAGCAGCGTTGATAGAAAGTGTAAAACCTTACTTGTGCTTGTCCATTATTTAGAATCTGCACAAAAATTTGAAGATAAAATATGTAAACACTCTGCAAAAAATAGAGTCACAAGACATAAACCAAGGCTGCAAAAATGAAGTACTGCAGTTCTGCTTTATTAAAATGACAGTAAAATGCCCATTCAACATATATATTGATATATGTGGTATAGAAAAGAATGCCAGGCCAAAAAATTAATGATACTGTTGGAAATTGGGTGCAGTTTTGAATATATTTGGTGTTAAAGCACATGTAAATTCATTGGTGAAATAAAAAAGGTAATCTTATCAATTTGCTGTTAGTGGAAACATTTCTTATATTTGAATTCTGATAATACATCACAACTTTTATGAAAGCATATAAATTGTAGTGAGCTGTCTTCTGAGCAGAATTTCATTAAATTTACTCTAGTATTTTACTCCAAAATAAATATTAAACATTTACATAACATATATTTAATCCTCTGTGAAGACAGGTTTTAAACAGCTCCCTACTTGTGCAGCTTTCTTATCCTTAAGCTATACAGTAGGTAGTTCATTTATGATGGAAGAATATGATCATTTCTCCAACAAGGACATATTTGTACATCTGTGCACTCCCTTTCAGGAGCAGCACAGAGCTAGAATTCATCTCACTCCTGGACTTACTTCCAGTAAATGAAAGGGTTGAGTAACCGGCATGCTGGCTAGACTTCCCTCCCTTCCTGTTCCCTGAGAGCCAGGTCTTTTCCCAGTCCACCCTTCCTTCCTGTCTTAAAAAAGAAATAAAAAAAAAATTAAAAAAAAAAAAAAAAGAAAAAATATAAAAAGCTATATTGACCTTTTATCCCAAATGAGAACAGGCACTGTGAATTCAGCAGAGAAAGTATGGCATGAGAACATTTAACAGGAATCACTTTGACTTTTTCTGGTGAAATTGTTTAGGTGGGATTTAGAGAACAGCTGTGTATATATGTAAGTGAACATGAAGGAAGACCTGATTGAAACAACTTCTCATTTATAGTTAGCTACTGTGATTTCTGAAAAGATATTTAGGTTTATTTGAGGACAGACTTTTTAGTAGGGCCCATGAACATAGGACAAAGGCTAAGGAGGCTAAGGGTTTTAAACTAAAAGAGGGAAATTTTTTACTAACTAGAAGGAAGATATTTTTTACTTTGAGACTGGAGTAGGTTGTCCAGAGAAGCTGTAGTTGCCCCATTCCTGGATATGTTCAAAGCCAGGTTGGTTGAGCCTTAGATCATCCTGGTCTAATGGAAGGTGTCCCTGCCAATGTTAGGGAGGTTGGAACTAAATGACCTTTAGGGTCCCTTCCAACCCAAACCATTCTGTGATTTTATGATTTTATGATTCTTTTCTGGTCTTCTCTAGGAAACCCATTTTCATTGTATTTCATCATTAACAAGCAGAGTTGTGCTAACTTCATAAAAAGTTTTTGTAAAACAGTAGAGAAGTGAGTTGGTTGTGTGTAGTTTACCCTGACACCAGGTGACTGATTCTTTTTGAAGCCTTAACAGTAGAAGGCTTTGGTATAATTGAGCCTGAAGTCCTATAGTAATACTTTATGAAAGGCCTTCTGTCACTGGTGCAAGCAGTTGCTTTATGGTATCTTCCACAAAAACTTGTTTCATATTTCAGGTAATAAAATCTATTGCAAAGACTAGATTGAAAGTTTTCCAAAAATATTATTTTTATGGAAACTTTTAATTTAGCAGGGGCAGTTGTTATATCTTTTTAATGTAGCATGTTTAATTTTAGGCCATAATACCTGAATAATTAATCCTCAAAGTGTCTCATTAACTTTAGTCCACAAAGTCACTGTGAATTAGTTAAATCCTGAGGCTGAAAAACCACAAAAGGGGTTCAGAGTTGCTCATCTAGACTAAGTGTCATGCACAAAAGTTCTCAGTTAAGGCTATAGTAATATTTGGGAATGCTTGCTCTGCCAGTTTTGCTCTTGTCTTAGTCACAGTATTCACACAAGTTTGGTGTTACATGTGACATTAAACTGTATTGTTTTTCCACAAGCATTGAAATGTGCTGGTTTGAGTTTAAGCAGGTGGATAAACCTGACAGTTAATTACATAATCAGTGTACTTAGCATGTAGTGCACACTTCAGCTCTTCACTCCTGATACTCAGCACTTCGCAGGATCGAGCCCTGCATGATCTTGAGGTGGTCAAAAATCTCCAGATCACTAATTTCTTCCCTATTTTAAATACTTGTTTTTTATTTTCTTAGAATATGCACAAATGCTGTAGCTGTGAACGTTCAGTTGCAATACATGTTGCATTATCCTCTTGTATAATAAGGGATTTTATTTTTCCACCCTACTTTTTGATCTTTTCATGTTTTGTAGCTTTATAGTTTCCTGTAATAGAATGTTTAAGTCATGTTTCATTCCAACATGCTCAGTAACATTTCTGTAATTGGTGACACAGTTAATACTGAGTGAGCAGTAATCTTCTTGTCCAGTATGCCTCTAGAGCTGTTTAATTGGCAACCTTTAAGGAATAATTCTGAACTATATTTTGTTTATTTGTGTCCACAAAGACACAAGAATCTCTAAACATGTTCCTATATATAAAAGAGAAGTTTCCAGGTTTTTGTCTAAGTTTGCAGGTGTGTGAGTGCCTAAGAATAAGATATATGCATTTGCCTGGTCAGTTAAATAAAATTATTGCAGAACTTGTGTTGTTTCTCAATGTATTTGGAGTTTCAGGAGGGGCATCCAGCAGTCAGATATAACCCCTGGAGGCAGTACCTCACTACAATCTTCTTTCCTTACAATCACTTTGAACTCAAATCAACATTGTGTAGCAAATCAAAATAACCTGCTTGAAGAACTAGATGATTTTCTGGTATGTTGAAAGATGTTATACACAATTTTAATGCATTTTAATATCATAAATATAAAGATTATCAACATACACTCCAGTTTTGCATTTCTGTTTATGCTTTATAGAATAATTTAGGTTGTAAAAGACTTTTGATATCATCAAGTTCAACCACAAACCCAACAATGTCAAGTGTAAACACTAAACCATGTTCATACGTGCCATGTCCACATATCTTTTAAAGACAGGAAATCGAGAATATTAAGTCACTACTTGCACCAGAGTTCTCAAAAAATGAATGAAAAAAAGAAAGAACCTTTGAATTAGTACTCTTTTTAAGGAGGAGAGAAAACTTGAACAGCATTTCATTTGTTGATTCATTGTGTTTTCCCGATAGGTTATAAGCTCAATGAGCTCACTTTCAGAATATTGTCTACCCTCTATCTTGCGCACTTTGTTTGATTGGTATAAAAGGCAAAACGGCATAGAAGATGAATCTCATGAGTACAGACCAAGAACAAGCACTAAATCCAAAAGGTATGATTTTGAATATGTGTAATTAATAAATTCTAAGGTTAAGTGTGTTACATTTCACCCATCAGCTTTTGTGAGGTAACAGTTGCTTGAAAGTTGTGTCATTTTTCAGCTTGTTCCTGGAACTCTTCTCTTGGCTTCTTGATGGACGGAATAATTGTGTCTTTCACATTATGCTCCTCATAGTTCCAACACAACAGTGCTGTTGTAATTGTCTTACTGATGTTTTGGATGTTTTCATGTTTAAATACCAGTTTGTATAAACTGTATTTACTCAAGTGATCGAGCAATAATTCTGTGGAAGAATTTTTCTTATACAGCATTCTGCTTACACATAAAAAATTCACGTATACCTACCCTCAATCCAAAAATTTGAGAATCAGTCAGAGAGTTTTAGCAACCTCTTAAAAGTAACAAGCACACAAAATAATGATGTCAGTAGTTCCTCAGTCATACAGCAGCAAACTTATCTTGGTTTTATTGAGGTCTGGCAGTGTGGTTCAGGTATATTCTTCAAACTTTGAGTTTTTCTGAATACTTCAGTACTACGTTTGCACACTTCAGCGAAACAGCAGCAGAATCAACACTGTCAGACCTGGTGCTCAGAAATGCATAGGCAATTCTTCACATTGGGATTGCATTATAACCCAGTAACTACAAAAGGCAGTAGCTGCTGGAACAAAGGTGTGGGGGCTAGGTTTAGATGCCAAGGTAGAAATGAACCTGCTTTAGGCACTTTATGTCAGTAGAAGTAGGCAGTATGAAGACATAGTTCATTAATTAGATGTCTGCTTTTTTGGTGAGATGAATCCGTGCTTTGAATTGCTTCTTTCTCCCAACTTGTTCCATGTCTACCTGCTCATAAATAGCTGTCTTTGGGAACTCCACCCAAAATTCTATTGAAATTCAGTTTAACAGTGAAACAAGACCACTCTGTCAATTGGTGGTGTTACAGAAGGAATGTATAACAAGTCCTTTCTCCAGCTGATGTAAAACCAAAGGAAACCAAAATGCAAATAATTTGCTTCATCACTGATGAAGCTGTACTCTTCAATGCCTGTTTTTTTACAAACATCATAAGTACAATTGAAATCAATAAAACTCTCAGTGTTTATAAGAATTGTGCCAAATTTACACAAAAATCACACTTGAATCATATTAAATGGACTGCAGAAATGTTTCTTGAATGTTTAATTTTAAAATAAGTACTGTATATTTCATGTTATCTTTTCAGTGCACCTTGAAACTTTTATAAGTTGATTCAAATAGGTTGGGGGGGTTTTTTTGGTATTTTTATTGGAAGCTATTCATCTCAGACTTTTACTCTTCTGTATTGTTCTGTACAAGAAATGTGTTTGAAAAGTTTGACAAGTGTTGCCAAAGTTAAAAAATTAAAACTGGAACAGTTTTTAAGAGATAGTAAAATTTGGTTGTGAATTCTCCACTCCATTTAAGGCATTTGTCAAAATTCATGACAAGTCTAAATATGAATTTGATGGCACAAAGTTACATTTGCTTCCAAAGTATAATTAAGAAAGGTCTAAATGGTGTCATCAGTAAGAAATTTTACATTAAATCACTTTGTTAGACTACAGAATCCACAAGTGTTCTTGGTTTTCATTTTTTTTTTTTTTTTAATTATTGTTTTGGATCTTTAACTGGAAAAAAAAAGAAGGAGGAAATGGATAGGTAATATTTAAGCATTTGAAAGAACATCACAGTAACAAGTTACATTTGGTCTACTTATCTCAGATTTTAAGAGCATAGCTTTCTGCAGTGCTGGACTGGAGTTTAAAAGGTAGAACGCAATTCCCTGTTACCTGTATTTGCGTAATTGAAGAAGGCATATAATGTGAATTATGACACTTCTCCAAAATATTGTGTTTCTTGGTTTGATTTTGCAGTGATGAACAACAGAGGGACTATTTAATGGAGAGAAGAGATCTGGCTATTGATTTTATTTTTTCTTTAGTATTAATAGAAGTTTTGAAACAGGTAAGAGTTCTCAAATTATCCATTAACTAATAAATGATAGAAATTACTAATGCAAGTGAATTTTGGGATTCTTCTTTCTGTTTGCATCTTTAAAATTATAATAAAAAAATGAAATAGATCCTGCATGCTTCTTCATTGCTATCTTTCTTGCACCTGTATGATACATAGCATTCTGTGCTCATACAGGCCTTACTTTGGCAAGTCTTTAGAATGAAAGTATTTATCTTCAGAAGTAAATAAACATAGAATGGCTGGCTTATTGTAGCTATATTGTTAGCTACATGCTATTTTAACTGGTACATTTCTGAATGGATGATATCCATGAGTAATATTAGCACTAGTGTAATATATGTGTACTTGTTATATTTTATTTTGTATTTTCAGATTCCACTTCATCCTGTAATAGACAGTTTGGTAAATGATGTTATTAACTTGGCTTTCAAGCACTTTAAGTACAAAGAAGGGTAAGACTCTTTTTCATGCAAAAAAGTCTATGAAAAAGATACTTTCTTATTTTTGTAATAGTGCTTTAAACAGTATGTTTTTCTCAGTTGAGAATTCTTTCTTGTGTCTTGCTAGGTACCTTGGTCCTAACACTGGGAATATGCACATTGTTGCAGATTTGTATGCAGAAGTAATAGGTGTTCTAGCTCAAGCAAAGTAAGAAAAATTCAATATATTATTTCCTTATAAATATGACAGTCTACTTGCTTAGCATGTGAATATTGTGATTTTCTAATTACTTTAATAATTCTGTAGGAATAAGTCATTTCAGTTCATTGGTTTTCTGTTTATCCAGATGTTCTAGAACATAGGCCTCTAGGGAATCACAGGCTTTCTGCATCTAGTCCAGTGATACTGAATAAATTCAACTCAACTACAGCAGCGTTATTTTCTCTATCTCAGCAATGACGTCTGTAGAAAGCCCAAAGGGCTGAAGAGAGCTATTTTAGCTAGTTTTTTTTTGTAGATGCTATTTTTTCTTTAGCAGGGCAAACCTACAAATGGCTATCCTCCTGCACAGCAGCAATGTTAAGGCTCTCTGCAGCTATTTCAGCTCACAACTTAATGCATCTGCTTCTGAACCCTTCATCCTTCTTAGAACAGATGACATCAAACATTTTGTGGGTCAGATCTTAAATTTTGAAACTGAAAACAGTCAAACTCAGGATCTCATGTACCCAATATATCATCTCATTGTACATTTAAACCACAGACTAAGCAGAGGATGAATTTTACTGCCTTGATGTAATGGTATTTGTCTCCTAACACTTTGTTGTTGCTGAGGGTGAGTCTCAACTCTACAAAACCAGTCAGTTTGGTTTGATGTGGCTAAGAGTTTGAGATTCTGGAAATCATATAAATTCAGCTAAGGTCTTACCTGCACCTCTGAATTGGCTGGGTCAAATACAAAGGGAGAAGTTGCATCTGGATCCAGAGCTTGACACTGACTGTCAAAGTTCTGAAGGGCCTTGCTAAGATGTTTCTGTAACTGAAGAGCTTCTTCCTGCTTGTCTATTTATTTGAGTTCACTTGGGTTGTCTATCAAAGGGGATAACAAAAGGTTGTTAACATTCTTGTGGTTGTTACACCCTCCACAACAATTACAATCTTCCCATTTTGTCTCAAAAAGGACAGGAGGTCCTGTTGGATGCTCTTTCTATATATCATTTTTGTGGACAACATGTCTCCAAAGACACCTTCAATAGATTTGTGGGGGAAACCAAAAATGATCACTGAGTCCTCTACCCTTAAGTAATTGTAGTTGTTAATGCTTAACTGTTACTGCAATGGCTATTAGGAAAAAAACATGAAGGTACAAATTGCTTATATGAATATTTTCAGGGTTATAGTATAAATATTTTCTTTTGAAAAATATTACATGTACTTGCAAGATAGCCATCTTCCATGATGGATTTTTGAAAAACATGTGAAGGGGTTATTTAAATAACATTGTTAGTTCTTACGTAAAAGAGATGCATGGTAATAAAATAATTTGAAACATGTGGTTATCTAAGGGACTAAGATCAGGCTGTATGCTTCCTTTTCTCAGTTATTATAAGTGAAAGAAAGCTAAACAAAAAAAATCTATTCAAATACTGAGTGAAATGGTATTTTTATACAACCTAAGTTTTATCTTCTTTAGGTTTTTCCCAATTTATATACCTTACAATACATTTCAAATATTGATTTTGAACTTTTTGAAACTAACCAATGTGAATTCATAGATTTCCTGCTGTAAAGAAGAAATTTATGGCAGAGCTAAAAGAGTTGCGGCATAAAGAACAAAGCCCGTATGTAGTTCAAAGCATTATCAGTCTTATAATGGGAATGAAATTCTTTCGCATTAAGATGTATCCTGTGGAGGACTTTGAAGCTTCTCTTCAGTTTATGCAGGTAAAATTCTCAAGTATATATTCTCAAGCTGTGGTTTCCAAGACCTTTCTGAATGGGGTAGCCTTTATTTTCCATGTACTATTCTAGGAGATTTCACTTATGTCATTTCCACATAAATCTACATGCAGCTACTTTCTGCTTGTTCTGAACCCCTCAGTGCTTTGGTCTCTGGAGTGTGTCAGCCCATACCAACTTTTCCTCAGTCATATACCTCTAGTTCCTAGAGGTCACCCTCCAGCTAGAAGAAGTTTTGTTCTGTAGACCCCAGCCCTTCCAACCCACTATCCCACACCTGTCCTTTGCCCTGTGTCCATGCCTAGCTGTGTCTCCCTAGCTGCTCACTGCCTCCAGAGTGATCTTCCAATTCTCACACAGTTGCCAGAAAAGAGAGAAACTTCTAATAGAGGAAAATACTGAGGAAGAAACAGAGAATTGCAGCAAAAGCTGGATAGAATTTCCTTTGGACATGTCTCCTTCTACCACACCTTCACCCTGCTTGCTGTAGAGTGCATTCTGTACCCTCCTGGTTTAAAAGTCACTAGTACAGAACATAGTTTGACCGTTTGACCACAATGAGTGCTTTAAATAAACAGATTCCATCATTTTGTACAAGGCAAGAAATTATTTCATGTTTCAGAGTTCTTGCTGGTAATGTACAATTGGTTTTGTACCCACCAGCAGGTTTGTTTAGCTTAATCTTTCTATTCCCCTGTTTTTTTTTTGGGATCACCCACATGGTTACATGGTTTGGAGCCACTCATCCAGTAAATATATGTTTTATATAAACCTCCATGTAAAGTTTAGTGTATCAATGGTGTAAATGGAGAAAAAAAATCAATGTTAGATGCCACAAGTAAGGATTTGGCATTGGAATACAAATATACAGGCATACAGACACACTGAGCTTTTTCTTTTGAGTCCTGTACAGGAAGCACATTCTATTTCAGCTTTGCAATATATTCTAAACCATATTTAATTGTGTATTTAAGACATATTTAACAACACAGAAACAGGTAATTTTTTTCCTACCTTACTCTTAATTATGTAGACACACACTAGTATGTGTCAACTTAGTTTAAGTTATCAAGAGCTGACAAAATACCAAAGTAATGTGTGTTCAGTGCACTTGACTTGATGAGTGAATGGGGTTGTGGCTCAGCTTTATCCAGTGTTCACTACAATTAAAATCTGTGGTAAAAATCTTATACAGTAAAACTGAAATTTGGATCTCTTCCTTCCCCTGCTATCTCAGTACTAAATGAATTCTTATATTTACTGCTCTGCATCATAAGATGCACTTGTGCACATAGGAAAACCTCATTTACTCAGTTTGGTGAAGTACATTTCAACTCTTTGGGCAGTTTGTCTGTTTGAGTATCTCTGTGCAGTGTTTCATCTAAAACCTCTGTCACACAGTGCTGCTGTAGGAGAGAGAGATGCTTTCGAAGGGTGAGCTGCTTTCAGGAGTGAGCTCCAGAAGAGCCTGTCTTCCCCCAAGGAGTGCAGAAGCACCTCAGGAAGACTGGTTGGAGTGACTTAAACCATGTGTTGTATAATCCTGTTAGCACACAGGGGAAAAATATACATGATCTGAGGTGTAAACTGCTCTGCATGATTGTGAAGGAAAAATGGTCAGTGGGGACCTTCCTCATACAGTCAGGGGCTGTTTGGGCCTTGAACCCAGAGAAAAAGTAACTGTGGCAATAGGATTTGTCATCCTCAGAGAAGCTGTACACACACGTGGGTGGATGCTTATCTCCCCTCCCTCACTTCCTGAGCAGCACAGCTGTCTGGAGAGTAGTTCGCTGCATGTCTGGGACAAAGTCTGTTTTAATTTTTTTCTTAATCCCCAGATGCAGGCTGGAAATTGTCCTCACATAGCACAATTCCATATTGACCCTCCATATGCAATGAATCCTAGCAATGAAATTCATCCAAAAATATTTACAATAACATTGTTCATTGCCCTGTGTGTCTTACAGAGAATTACATTCCTTTTCTAGCCTCTCAAAGCATTGTGTAAAGCAGCCCATATTGACTATTAATTTTGCTCCTGAAGATACACACAGGGCATGAGGTCAGCCCCTCAGTCCAATTCCATTTCCAGTCCAAAACACCACCAGGCACAGCTGGAGTCAGTGGAGACTTTCTGGATTAGAGTTACAGCTCCTTGATCTTGACTTAGGTCCTGCTTTCTGCTTGCTGCAAAATGCAGATTTAGAAGTTAAGAGGCAGATATGTTCAGTGGGATTTACAGGATAAAAATAGTCACTGACACATGATTCACATTCAGCAAACGTTCAGAGGTCTTTATTTAAGCTGATACACAATTTATGTTTCTTGTATTTTTTTTTTAATTTAGGAATGTGCACATTATTTCCTTGAAGTTAAAGACAAAGATATCAAGCATGCACTGGCAGGACTGTTTGTTGAAATTCTTGTCCCCGTAGCTGCTGTGAGTTTATTTTTTATGTTGTTTGCATAATTTTTTTAAATTAGATAATGCAGCTTGTGAAATAGTTTTTTTGCTAACATGAACTTTTATTTCAGGCTGTTAAAAATGAAGTGAATGTCCCCTGTCTGAGGAACTTTGTCGAAAGCCTGTATGATACAACGCTTGAACTTTCATCACGAAAGAAACATTCATTGGTTAGTAACCCTAAGAAGCAGAGGTTAAAGTTTACTGTCACAAATATTTCTGAGCAAGACTCTTGGGACATTGCAAAATGTTTTGTTTGCATTTGGCTATAACCAATACATTTCTATTTGCAGGGAAGATTATTGTGTTTGCAGAAAGTAACTGTACTTATTTTACTAATAATATAATCTAAATTAGTCTGAATCAAATATGTTGTCTACTTCTGGTTCTGTGATTATTAAATGGTTCATTCTTCTCATAGTTATTATGTGTAAACATTAGGAGAAGAGGAGAAAGAATGGAGTTCACTTCTTGTCAAGCGAGAACAAATGAGGCTTGTGGGAACAACTCTTTCACGGGGCTTAAATAATACATTGTAGGAAGGAAAAAATTTATAACACATGCCCTTTGAAATCCATAACTTGGCTACTGTGTAGCTCCCTAATGCGTTTATTTTCATGTGAGATGAACAGTGGCACTGCAGTATATTTTTGGAATCATGAGTTGATCTGAATTAAATGAGGATCTGAGTCAGTTTGATGCTGGCTGCCTTAAGCAGTCTGTCTCTCCAACTGGGTCAGCGCCTGTCAGCAGTGTGGCATTAGCTAATCCATTTTGAAGTCTTGGACCTTTTAAGTAAAGAAAGTTTGTCATTCGTCCTCCCTCATTCTAGGGGAAAGTCAAAAAGACTTCCCTGTTTCCAGTTCTTTCAGCAAATGCTGGTCCTTGGCGCTAGTGAAATTGCTGGGAGGACTGCAGGAGTGTGCTGGAGCTCTCTGCCTGTTACAAAATTCCCAGGGGACAGTCAGAGCATCCCCTGGGGTGCAGTCCTGATCCAGTTTGAATTAGCGGGAGGCTTGAGATGGATTTCTGATTTCACTCTGCTTACATTTGTGTGGCAAACTATTGAGTTTCTGTTGAGTTAATAAAACCTTGTTGGAACTGCAGCAGGGTAGAGATTTTCTGTACAGTTTTTACATTAAATAGAGCTTCCCAAACTGTGGCCATACTTGCCAAAGTCAATACTATATTCTTGAGAAAGGATTGCACAGCTGGGCCTTTGCATTTGATTGCTTGTCTACACATACCACACTGGAGGCTACATAGTTAAAAGTGACAAAATAAAATAGATTTTTGTGAGGGTGTGATTAGAAATACAAACATTGTGAGGAGGAGGAGGGGGAAGGCAAACAGTTGACAAAAATAGCTGCAGTGCATATTTCCAGACTTCCAGGAAGAAAGCACACTCCTTAAAGTTTGAACAGGACCAAGATCAGTGTTTGGTGAATCTATGCACTCACTGTACAGACAGGATGGGGGAAGTCATCTTGTTTCATTTTCTATCTAAAAGTATCTCATATGAGCTAGTCTTTAAGGTTCTTTTGGTAGAGAATGGAGAGAATTAGGAAATTCCAGGAGATGGTTTATCTTCCCTCCTAAGGATCTTCCTTAGGATGGGTTGTAACACTCTTGGAATGTTACTAAACTCTGTGATCCAATCAATTACTCAACTGTATTGTAAGAAAGTGTTCTGTGAGAAGACTTCAGTTATCCTGTCCCGTATATATTTTGGATGTGAAGATTATAAAAATAAAAATTAATGTACAGTTGCTCAAGAAATTAACCTAGATGTGGACAGTTTATGTTATGTGTTACTGGAACAGAAACTGAGATTTATAATGCATTTATATTTCAAGCTGTGGCTGAAGTTAGAATTCAGAGATAATTTTTAAAATAATTCATCTTAAAGTGAACTTGCCTTATTTTGGACTAACACCTTTTAAGTCCTGACTGGATTTATTAACGTTACAACTGAAACTTTAGTCTTCTTGAAATAGCAGAGTCAGTTTCCAAATCATTAGGTGCATTTTAGCTTAATTTTTGGTATCATTTACAAGCGTTAAAGGAAGCGTTGACAAAGAGACTGGGTTTGAACTTCTATGTTCTGCTTTGCTTCTTTTTTTTTTTTTTTTTTTTTTTTTTTTTTTTTTTTTTTTCACTTCACAAGCTGTAACTCCCAGCAGATCCAGGCATTCCTTGTATTTTAACAAAATTCTTTGACATGTCTGGCAGTAAATATTGTCACTGCAGATTTTGAGGCGTATCATCTGATTTAGAAGTTCTGACAATCTCTGTGGGTCCTGTTGTTATAATAATAAAGTTTAGATGTTTCCATGCTTTTATTTCTCAGAAAACTGACAGAACTTAACGAACTTAATCCTGAGTCTGAAAAATTGTGCCCTTACACTGCTATGAGTACACGTGGTTGGTTTTAGTTAATCTGTGAAACATATCGGTAACAGCTTTGGAGAAGGCTCCTTTTAAACAGCACTGTTTACTAATGTGTTTATGTTGGCTAACTTGTATTGCACAAAACGGAGGAGTTAGAACTTCAAGTATACAGTGGCTCTATTAAGTTAGTTTTGTGTTGTGTAGACATGCAAATAACACTATATTGACATCCATTTCCTGTTTAGGCTTTGTACCCCTTGGTAACATGCCTGCTTTGTGTCAGTCAGAAGCAGTTCTTTTTAAACAGATGGCATATTTTCCTCAACAACTGCCTTTCCAATCTCAAGGTTAGTATCTCTTGGTTTTAATATTGTAATCAGAGTTTAATATTGTATTCAGAGTATGCACTGTTAATTTGTTGCATAGCCTTTTTAGGTAAATGTGCTGAGTTATTGCTATTGTCTGATTCCATACATAGCTTTATTCCTGACAGTACAAGTTCTTTAGCTGTGCAGGTTTTTCCAATAGCAAAAAAGTATTCCTGGGCTTAGTTTGAATTTCTGCTGTTCCTCTATCTCAAATTAAGACTGACTCAAACACCTGTGAAACAGAAAAAATTGCTGATGGAAGTTAATGGGTTGAGTGATATACCAAAAGTGAGCTAGTACTAACTTGCTTTTTTCACATAAGCATTGGAAACAAAGAACTTGTTACTACTTTTTCAAAATGGAACTACTTGTAGGACACTGATTCCATTGCTTGTTTCACTCGTGTTAAATGTTTACATTACAAAAACCCTAAACTTTTTCAAGTTCTTTCCTCCATGTAGCCTTCTTATTCCCTTGCCATATGTTAGATCTTTGAGGTTTAAGGTTTTTCCACTGCAATCTGTGATTCCCAGGCTGCACGTGGTGTTCAATGCACATGTGCTAGTTATCATTGCTGTTCCTCCACGTGCCTTTTACTTTTGCAATAACTAATGTCCCATGCCATGCTAAAACTGCATCCCTGTGAAAGGATGGTCCTGTGCTCACCTGAAAAGGGCAATATAAGAAACACAGTGAAGTGATTAGAGCAAATTAAGGTCCTCCCAACTGTGTCTTGATGAACCAGTGGTTAGGAGGCTTCTGCTAACAGCACACTTCAAACTTCACACAAACTTCACATTTCAGCCCTTTCTCAGCTCAAGTATCTGGCCTCCAAAAGCTGAGTTCTCAAGCTTATCAAAAAGTATATATTACATCCTTTTTTGCTGTTGTTTTCTGGTCATGCTTTCTCTCTGTCTTAATTAAACAATTTTTGTTGACTCTTCCCATATGGATCTTGCTGTTAGAATAGCTCTTCAGAATGTTCAGTCTGCCTGAAGATTTCCTTCTGCCAGTACTTGAATACCTAACCTTCACTGAGGATGCATTAGAATCTTACTTCCAAATAGATTCAGAAAATAACCTTGTTGTCATTGAAACTAATATTATGGGGTTTTATGCAATTGTACAAGCTTCAGAAAATGCAAAGCCAAATGGGATTATATTTTTTTTTTTTTTTTATAATCAGGAGATCCTAACAAATTACTTGAAACTGTCATAGAAAATATAAGAAAAGTTGGTCCTATCTTACTGATTGAAAATAAAATTGAATTTTGTCTTGCAACCTGTAATTCATTGATATATGCTTCAGTTTATAGGGCTCTCAGATTAATGTGGTGGCACTAATTCAGTCATTACTTTGGAGAGAAAGTAAGGTAGCTGAATATGTGGCCAAAGTAAGAAAGTGATTGGCCACTCCTTCCCAGTACAGAGAAAGATGCCCCAACCATTGAAACAATCTTTTCACCGGACAGGCTGGCACCTCAAAACTGAAGCCAAACTCACACAGTGGAGGAAAAGCTGTGTACATCTGTTAGAGGGAGAGGTGTGCACATCAACACCATGAGCTTGGGCAGATCTTGCTCATGGACTTGCCCATAATGTCCCTGGATGTATCTTAGGCTTTTTATCATCTTCCTCTTAATCCTGTTTCTGCCATGCAGCTTACTGATCTGACAAAAAACTGGTCTACTATTTTTTGAAAAATCCAGTGATACTGGTCTCAGTATCGTTGGAGTTTTCTCCTCCCTCTTTTCTCCTCCCTCATTCTCAATGGCTGTCAGAGCTAAATACCTCATCACTGGAATATTTGGACACTTGCTAACAAATAGCTTCCTCCTCTGCTACACAGCCTCTTGTTATCTTAACTCGCTTAGCCATAGCCTGCTGTTTTCTTGAAAGCTTTGAAATAATAATAAATTTTGATAAACGGACTTCATCACCTGTTGAAGAACTAAAATTCCCTGGGTCTGAATTGTACAAGGACTGGTGTGACTATACCTGATGAAAAATTGATTGCAAGTAACCAGGTTCATAAACAAATTGATTGTAGTGAATTTCGTTATTTTAAAATCCTTCAGAGATTAATATGCCAAGTAACCTTTGGCATTCCTTTTACTAGTTATTCTAAACATGTTTGACAAGCATTGTATGCTTCTATAATAAACAAAAAAAAATCTATTCAGTTTTCTGTCCATGTAAAACTTTATTGCATAAAATGTGTTGTCAAGGAGTTGAATGGAAATTAGAGCCCAAAAAGTGTTTCTGTTCCTAAGCTTGTGACAGATGCCACATTGAAAGTTGAAGTAGTCTCCCATATCACTGGCAAAATGTCTTCTGTCATTTTACAGGACCCAGGCCCATAGACATTCAGGAATTTCTGACAGCATCAGTTGCAGTTTCTTTGATCAAACCGCAGTCTTTGATCTGTGACTCAACATTTGTCTGCCGAAAATATCTCAGATTTTTGCCATGGAGATTTGCCCTGTGGGCCAGGCAAACCTTATCTCAGGTCAAAGTGTACTGGACTCCTGCAAAGTTTAACTCAGCAGATGGCTCAACATGTGGGAGACCATCTGATTGGACTGCACTCACTTGTTTTTCACTCAGACAGCCCTTACAACTGCCACAGAAACAGGAAACTGCATATGACTGAAGAGACCCAAAGACAATCCCGTACTAGTTTCTAAAAATAAACAGCAATCCAAACAGATAAACCAATTCAGTCCAGCTGATCACAGATGCCATTTAATTAGGATAGCCTAAGCATCCATGGATTTTTGTTGTTTCACTTTTGAGTATGTGTGGTACATTCCTTTATCTGTTCTTCATAACAGGCCTCCACCATAGGGCAACAACTTTTGAATTTATATAATCTACTGAATAGGAGTTTTTCTTTTCATAGTCAAATTGTGGGGATTTTCAAACAGAGATTTTAAATTGTAACATCTGTCTAATTTAACTAACTTGATACTTGGGTTTTTCAACTACTGAAGTAATATCAGAAGCAAGTCAGATGCATGAGCATCCTACAGCTATAGGAATAGAGCACTGAGAAATTGTGAGGCTCTACCGTTTTTTAGTTTCATTATCAAAATGCTGGACCTTGGCATCCATTAAATGTAGAACTTACTTGCTAATTTGTGCCTGAAGTTTTTATTATGTGATATGTTTCTCTAGAATAAGGACCCAAAAATGGCTCGAGTTGCACTGGAATCTCTGTACAGACTACTGTGGGTTTACATGATCAGAATTAAATGTGAAAGCAACACAGCTACCCAAAGGTAAAGTGCTTTATTTGTAATGAAAATCCATTGTAGAATGGATGTTGCCAATGAAGAGGTTTTATAGTTCTCTTGAATTCCTTCAAACTGTACCTATTTCTGTTGCAAAATAAGAAACTCAGCTGTACCTAACAAAATATTTCCTCCTGTGGTGCTGTCAATTAATCTGTCACCTATGAAAATTGCTGAATAAAGTGTTTCTGCTTTTGGAAAAATTAGAACTCCTTGTTCAGTGTAAGTTAAAAATAGTTTTGTAGTGGCCATTGATTTGTTAATTTACTTGTAACATAGTAATGAAATAAAATAATTGCACTGAATTTTAGCAAAGGATCAGAACAAGACACTCCATTACATTTTCATTTCAAAGGAAGTTTTTTCTGGTCTTTCTATGTGGAGTGTCATGCTAAATGAAGATCTGCGAGGTCCAAAATGACTAATGTTTGTTTTTCTTTTGCAGTCGACTTATTACTATTGTCACAACCCTTTTCCCCAAGGGGTCCCGTGGTGTTGTGCCAAGAGATATGCCTCTAAACATCTTCGTGAAGATAATACAGTTTATTGCACAGGTATGGGAGAGCAATGCGTATATCTTTCCATATAATGAACAACTTATTTTCCCAATAACAAATTAACAAATAACTAAACTTCTAATGACTGGATTTTTTTGCTACCCTGTTGATATTATCTTTCATTCAGGGAATGATGAAATTATAGACTGAGCTGGGGCAAACTTCTTTTGAACAGCAGTTTTGATTAACCTCATTCCATTGAAAATAGATTAAAATGTATTCACTTAACTCACATGTAATTTTTGTCAGTTTTTAAAATTTCCAGCTAGTCAAAAAATGTATTTGTTGACACACTCTGTCAATAAAGTTCAAAATATTAGGCCATATTTCATCCTGATACTGAACCATCCCTAGTGTATAGGACAATAAGTTGTCCTGCTTTCAAAGCAGGAAGTCAGATGTCAACCAAGTTCAGCATGGAGTTGACACATGTAGTTTTCATCAGTTCAGATGGGAACTGCTAAAATAGACTAACTTGCGGTGCCGGAAGTTTCATCTCTTTTACGACTTAAATTCAGAAAATTTTCCCATTGAGTAAAGCACTTAAGCACATACTTAAAGTGTCTGAATAGAAATGAAGCAAACAGATGCTTAAAATCTTCCCTTAACTGTGCCATCTGTGAACAAGCTCTTTTTATGTAAAATACTGTGTTAGTGGCATAATTACTGCAGTTTAAATGAAATAATTAAAAAGCTTTATTTCCAGAATGGATCATTTTCTATTTAAATGCTATACATTCTGGATTTTGTCAACATAAAGTATTGTTAAAAGTTTAGATCTGATAATATGTTCTACATAATTCTGAAAATCTGTTTTTCCATATGTTTAAATAAACCCTGATTAAACTGGTTTTCAGCATTCTATAGCCTTAATGAAAATAACTAACAGAAGTGAGCAGCTTACTGATTTGCAGTATTTTTGCTATTTTAGGAACGTTTAGATTTTGCAATGAAAGAAATTATCTTTGACTTCCTTTGTGTTGGAAAACCAGCAAAAGCTTTCAGTCTTAACCCTGAGGTATGATGTATATCTGTGCTTTTTTTTTCTTTTTTTTTTTTTTTTTAAAGTTAGTATTTTTTTTTTTTTTTTTTTTTTTTTTCCTGGTTACATTCTAAGCATTCTTTCATCTTTGTCCCATTTTCAGGCAAAATCTTGAATCTGATTTATGTGTAAAATACATCTGAATTTCTAACTGTAAAATGTCATATTGTTTATGCCTTTCTGATGTGTTCTCAGTGAAAAATATCAAATGTGAACTATTGCAAATGTAAAAAAAACAAAAAGAAAAATATAAATAAAACTATTGTTGCAATATGTCCTTATCAGCACTATATCTGATGTTGTTACATGCAATGCCTTAAACTATTAAACTATTCTAATAAAACAATATTTTTTTCTGTAACAATGTCAGTGTTACTGAGTACATAATGCAAGAAAGCTTGAAAAAGAAAACACTCTAATAAAATTTTACTACTCTGACCAGCAAAGCTCCTCTGGTGGTGTTGTCATGAGTCAGCTTCCTAGAGAAAAAATCAGAAATTTGAAAAACATTAAAAAAAATCAAAATATAAATAAGATAATTAAAAACTCTCTTAAGAATATACAGTTTATTAAAATTTTGAAAATATTTTCCTTTAGAAATTAAGAAAAAATGCAAAATAATTTGTGATCCTCTTATAAAACATGTCTGTATTAATCTTGCAGAATTAAACAGTTGTATCTATTCACTAAGATGTTAAAATAGAGTGATTGCCTTGCACAAATTATATTTGCTAGAAAAATGTGGAAAAGTAGATTAAACTTTATACTGTCAAAAGCAGGAAAAATGAAAGGCAAGCTTTATTTTGAGCACAGCTTTCATCTTGCTATGGCAGAGTAAAAAAGGATGAAACAGAATTTTTGAGCAGGCAGTCCTCACCATGCTCTGGGTCAGCCACCTGCAGCATTGACTGAGAAAGGTTCTACAAAGGACATTTTGTGTTAGCCTAGCTAGAGGGGATGGACATAGTCCTTAGCTTCTTGTTGAATCAACATCTGAAATTTTACTGTCTCTCTGTAAAAAAGAATTTTATTGTTTTCTGTAAGTCTGAAAGTAAAGACATTATTGCATCACTTTTTTAGGTACATGGACTTAGCATTCTGGAAAAAAAAAAATCCCCATAATCTGTGTAAATGCATCTTTGGGATCCTGTCAGTAAAACAGCCTCTTAGTTTTTGGAACACATTCCAGAGAAATTGAAAACATTCTAGTCTTTCAATCACTGCAATATAAAGCTTGCAAATTTTCCTCTGGAGCATTCCCAAAAGGCATTCAGATCACTTAGATTCAGCTTCTTGATATTTTTGTAGTTTTGGCACTGAGCATCATTCTAGACTTTTCTCTCAGTATGATTAACCCTGGGGCCTTTTCAAGACAGTTATTGGTCTTTTTTTTTCACAACAGATATAGGTCATTTATGTTTAACTGAAGGTCCATTTAAGATGCATTGGTACACTACAGATCATATCCAGGTGTTTTATCCTGAAGATAAAAAGATAACATGCTAATGCAAATACTTAAAATTCTGAGAGGGGGAGAGCACTGCTCACAGTGGAGATAAGAATTCACTATTTATTTCATGGGCAGTGTGAAATATATGAGACTAGTTAATGTAGTGAAGATACAGAAAAAAATTGCCAGCAAGTACATTCTCAAAATTTCAGAGTGAATGAAGAATATTAATAGAATATGAGTATTTGATTACTGAACTCATCCATCTTCTAAACTTTACAGAGAATGAATATTGGCCTGAGAGCTTTCTTGGTAATTGCTGATAGCTTGCAGCAGAAAGATGGTGAACCGCCAATGCCAGTGACTGGAGCTGTCCTTCCCTCGGGAAACACTCTCAGAGTGAAGAAAACATATTTGAGCAAAACTCTTACTGAGGAGGAAGCTAAAATGATAGGTCAGTAAGAGGATGGACAATACAGAAACTTGTGTGAGAATGGATGTGAACATGTTTTCAGCATTTGAGCAGAATAGTTTATTATTGTTAAGTATTTGATTTATTTTTGTACTGTAAGCATTTAATTTTTTGTGTGTTCTAGTGAAATGTGTGGTTCAGTTTGATAAATTCCACTTTTTATAGGTTGTTCTGAAAATTCCTCAGTCCTCCTACGAAATCTGTGTTTCATAGGTTATTCTGGAAAGTCCTTGCTCCACAAGAGGTAGCAACCGTGTATTCTGGGAGGGGTTAAAGACACATGTAGTCTTTAATCTTTCAGTGCTGATAGATGTGTTTATTCACGTATATTCATCCTATTAGAAATACTGCCTGTGCTTGAAGATGTACCAGATTTGAAAACCATCAAAGATGCCATTGATAGCCTCATTTTAATTGCAATATCTTAAACTTTCAAACTGGGAAAAACTTTTAATTGTAAAATACTGTTGTACTTATGTGCCTAAGTTAACAGCACTGCTGTCTTGGGCTTCAATGTAGAGCAAGAATCCTGTGCTGTAGAAGAGTCTTCTCTATCATGCCCTGAAGGTACCTGGTTTTGTTGGCAAAAAAAATAGAATTTGGCTCCTCCCCTTCACACTTCCTTAAAGTTACCTGAATGAAATGAAGTCTACACCAGTGGCAAAGATCTGTGTTGTACTGTGCTAGATCACTGTACTAATATCGAGAAAATAGGCAGTGTAAAACCCACTGCTGTTGAAGTATTTAAAGTAGTTGAACTATTTGAAGATAGTATTTGATAACAAATGTTTGCACTTTAAAATTCTTATATTAGCCATTTCATTGTGATTTTATGATGCGGTATTAAAGTCTCCATGTAGAATATGTAAGCATTCCTTTTGGAGTAGGCAACATATTCTGATTTTGGATCAGGATATCAGGAATATCCTATCTCATGAGGAAAGCATTTTTCTTACTTCATGCACCACAGCATGAGTAAGCAACTTTCTTTTTCAGAATATATATGTATGTATAAATATCCCCAATTATACAAAAATGCATATTTTTACAGGTATGTCATTATATTATTCTCAAGTAAGGAAAGCTGTGGACAACATACTCAGACACCTTGACAAGGAAGTGGGTCGGTGCATGATGCTTACCAACATACAGATGCTTAACAAAGAACCTGAAGACATGATTACGTGAGTGCTAAAAAACACTAATTCCCATGAAACATGCAGATGTAATTTTAGAACTTTTTCTATATTTCTGTCTATCATGAGTCACCAGAGAAACAGCAAGAAGCAGGAACATTTAGCTTAATTAGTATATACTTTGAAAAAATGTTTCTGACAAGTTGATTGTGCTTCTTTGAATGCTGCAGTGTTTGGAACCAAAGATGCTCTTTATGTAGGTAAAATCATGTGTGAATCCTATGGTTGTTTAGATGGTAGAAGTAGAATGCTAAAGTAGAATACGTGGCAGCCTATCCTCAGAGCACTGTCTCAGGGTATATTTGCATCACTGAACTTCAAAATGAATGGAATGAATTCTGTAAATCCCTATTAATAATAATATTCAAAATTTCCCTTTGCTTTTCTTGCCTGTAATCAAAATCAAATCTTAATTAAAAACCCAAGTAATCTTGTGATACAGCTTGGATTGAAGCAGTATCCCACTGGAACAGAATCAAACCAGTGTCCTTCAAGCTGTGTTGAACAGCACCATTTTTCACTTTCATCCAGAATTATTAGTGAGGCAAGTTTCCTGGAGACATTTCTGGTGAGGTGAACATCAAGTAGAGGTTAGAGATGCATAGACATCATCTGATAGGTGCAGAGCACAGATTGTAGAGATTTCAGCTGTAAGGAGACCTTGACTACCTTTCTTGTTAGAGCAGTGGACATGGTCATTATTCTAGAAAAGAAACAACCCCTGGAAAAAAGTTTGAGATGTAATGAAAAGGACACTGGCCTCTTCGAGATTTTTTTATTTACTGCCCAAAAAAGTCGACTTGCTAGGAGTACTGTGAGTCACAGGACTGGCCAAATTGAACTACCTTGTACAACTGATAAAATCTTTATGTGTTTGTTCCTCTGCCCTTATTTGTTGCAGTGCCTCTAGGTGAGACTATAAGCTGTGTCACCAGCCTTGTCTTTATTTATGTTTGTAGCTAATATTATTACCCAATAATATTTCATATTTTTCTTGTAGTCCTACCCCATGTCCTGTTCAGTTCTCACACCCAGTTTTCATAACCATTTTGGGTATTCAGGCTTTTGTGGTAGGGAAAGCCAAGTTTGAAACTCACATTTTATTCCCAAGAGATAATTGCACAGTGAAACCTTGGGCACCAAGATTAGAAGTGTACTGAATCTTTGCTATAAATATCCTTTGGATGGTTTTTCAGCATCACCAAAATTTTGTTTATTTTTAGAGTCAGTGAACAAATAGACTCAAAAGAGCTTTAAATTTCAGGAAGTCTTAAGATTTGGTAGTAACTTTTGTCAGAAACATGAAGATTGGAATATTTAGGCAAGTAAGTTACTACCTTTTGTGTTGTATTTTATATTCAGATGAGCTCTAGTTTAATATATACACTTGAAAGGCAAACCACATTATAACACATTTTTACTTGTTCTTTCAAGGGAAAAAATATCTGGGATGCTTAATTATCAGTTGATCTAAAATTATGTGAACTCACAAAAGACATCAGTAAGCTGTTACTATCAGGATCGAAAATGATCCTTTCAAAAACTGCATTGTGGATATGTGGAAAAGCCAACATTTTATTTTAATGTGATTGCTTCCCATTTTATCCAAAGAACTCGATGCTTCACAGAAGTTACATATTTATTTTGAATACTTACGGGTTTTAAGTGGTAGATACCACACTACATTTGTGTACATTTTTAAGTTACTGATTTTGTCATAGTTGTGTAAAGTTTAAGTGTAAACTGTATAAAATGAATACCACAGTGGTATTTTTATTAACAAATAAAATAAGAATCTGAGGGAAGTAGCTAGGCACTGAGCAGACATAATATTTCAGATTCTGGAATTTTCTTTGGCAGTGTTAGACTTGCTAGATTCTAGACAATATTTAATTTCTGATCCTTTAAGCATTTATTGTTGAAGTAATAATTGCCAGTATGGAGAGTCTTATTACAATCCTGAGTAAGAATCATCCTTTGCATCCTGCACTGCATATGAATTTCAATACTGGCTATAATTACTTTCCAACATTTAGTTAGAATAGGGCATGCATTTTTCTAAAATACAAACCTGTCCTTGCAAATACTTCAAAGGCTCCCCTTGCCTCCCTCATGTGCTCAGATGATCTGGTGGCTCAGATGGTAAATTGGGAATTTGAGCCTGAGGTTTGGATCTTCTCCTGCTACTCGTCTGAGCAGCTGATAACCCACAGAACACCCACAGATTTTATATTTATAAATAATTACTCATTTGCCTTCAGAAGAGTTTCCTCTCAGACTATTATTTTACAAGTCTCCATTTGAAATGCACAAACTTTGCCCTTGCTAGGGTCTGAGCATAAGGAAACTCTGCAAAGTTCATTTTCCATTTCAAGTTCCTAATGGCATTTTAATGTTTACAACTGTAAAAATATAGGATTTTGCACTAGTTATTAATCCAGCTACTAGTATTTGCTTTAGTGATAATAATTGAAAAGGATTTATACTATTCGGTTTATAACCGAATTCTCAGTGAGATGTTGTATTTTACTCCTTTTCCAGTCAGTTGCTGACACCTTTCAAGTTCTACCTGTTAGAATACAGATACAGTGACACAGAGGTAATTAATCATGAATACAGTTTCTCCTAACTGTACCATTAAGATAGTTAATTAAAAATATGTCAGCATTTTATTCATGTAATATATATCCAAGCTAATAAGTAGGATGTTAAGAGACAGTATGGTGTTCACTACAAAACTGCCTTTAATCTTTGAATTAAGTCAGTCTAATATCAGTTTATGCCTTTGCTTCATTGAACTGTACTCAGTGTTACTCACTGAAATAATGAGTACAGAAAATCTTTCAGGGTGCATTGCATCCAGGCTTTCTCTGTGACTGAACACAAAAGTAAGAAACCCAAATGCAATGTTCTCTGTTGGGTGGAGAGACAGAGTAATGTAACTGGGGCAATGGACCAGGGTGCAGGAAAACTAAGTTCATTTTTTGTTTTGTCACTTCATTTCAGTGTGGTGTTATGTAGCTTACAATGCTTCTTGGTGTGTCTTTTTTCCGCCCTCATTCTTTTCTAGTTCTGTTTGAAGCATATTAAAACAGGAACAACCTTTCTCTACATGTTTATAATGTGGTCTCTAAATAGGACCTTACTTTTTTGATGATTCCAAAGCATATTACAAGCTAATAATTAATAATATTGTGGGAAAGACTGCACAGTTTGAAATGCTGTTACGCTTTGGTAATTTCCTCTACACTCCATCATTAGATAATAGATGATTGGGATAAAAATGAGCAAATAAAAAAAATCCACCCTTTGGGATCTATCTGAAGGATTTATTTAATCTGCAGATTTACCAGAAATGTTGAAAACAACTCAGAAAACAACTGCATCTGTTTTGAAAATAATCAACTGCTGAAATTTCAGCTACTTTTAGAAGATTCATGGACTTCCAATGTAGTGTTTGGTTCATGCTGAACTTTGTGCTTAATGACTTTCGCAGGCTGTTAGGGAACAGTTGTGCCATTCCACAGATTAGAACACCCTTAGGGCTGCTAAAACATGTTCCAGCTGATAAGAGTTGCCAAAATGCTGTTATCTCTGGCAGTGATCAACAGAAACTCTCTGACCATACCTACCTCTAAATTACACACCTTTTTCAGTATTAAAATGTATCATGATGGTTTTCCATGGGCTTGTTCTCTGTTGGAGGCAAATCTCTGGATCTTCATTTGTGTTATTTGAACTTGTTAGGCATCTGCTGTTTGCTTCATACAACTGGTGAAATATAGCTGCACTATGATGGAGCACCCCAAATCTTTCCTCACTGCCTCATCCAAAGCTTGCATCATATAAATGCTAATCTTGATGAAGGAACCCTCCTACATTATATCTCCATTTTATATATATATGCCAATTCCTCTCAGAGAGAAGCAAAAGAATTATTAATAACTGATTTTTCAAGTAATGTATAGATATGATGCATGAAAAATGTCAAAATCGAAACCATTTATTCAATGGAAAAATGTATTCATGTTTCCTTCTGACTTCATTATAATGTTTAGCTGTCCATCCTGATGCTCTTAGTAGGCTTCTGGCGCTTTAGAGGTGGATCATTTAATGCAGTTCCTTCTTAAGTTTAATCAAAATTCTGTTTTAATTTTTCAGTGGTGAAAGAAAACCAAAAATTGATCTGTTCAGAACATGTGTTGCTGCTATTCCTCGATTACTTCCTGATGGAATGTCAAAACTTGAGTTGATCGATTTACTGGCAAGGTAAGCTGTACAAGCATTGAATGACTGCTCCAGGGGAACAGTGTGAAAAGCTGAGCCACAGAATATATAACTGTTTCTTTTTATATATACTTTAAAAAAGTAAATTGCTCTTAATGGATTAGACAGAGATGTCTTAGCAGCTTTTTACAGTTTTTGTGTTTTTATTATGGTTCATAATGTTATTAAAAAGTTGGTATGTCCTCCAGAACTCTTTCCCATCAGTGTGCCGGTTATTTGATATTCACTATTATTCAGGAAAGTCACAACATATTACTGTTTTCTAACCATCACAGCATTCTGATTAACAGGAGAAAACATCTTTTTTGTGTAGTGGAAATATGTGGAGATACCTGTTAAGTTTTGATTTATGATTCCCACATGTCTCTTTGGTAAAACAGAATGTGCTAGATGTGGTATATTGCAAAAATCCTTTTACATTATTATTATTAACCATAAAATTTTAAAAATCAGTTTAAAAAAATGTTACATCCCTTCATTTAATTTTTCTGAGTAGACTTCACTGAACAAGGTAGTCTACAACATGACTGCTACACCTCTTAGGTTTCAAGATATCAAGTCAGTGACTTGTGGCAAATAATTATGATAAAAGGTGCTGGTCAGTACAGAAAAGTCTGTTATATTTCAATTCAAGTACCTAAGACCAAGGTTCCAGCTTGTGTTCTTCATGTAAGTGGATTATGGTATTAAATTGAACCAAGAGGGCTTTGCAGCATATTGTTCTCAGGTAACTCTGGGCAAAGCAAACCTTGCCACCCTGTTCCTGCTTTTCAAACATTGCAGGTGTGGGAGCCAGAAGGGTACATACAAAACCAGTTTTTTCGGTTCTATGAACAACTAGCTCTCGGTGATGTGCTAACACAGTGAAACAATTGATTCTGGAGAGTGCAGACAGCCAAACAAGCCAGATTCTCAGGCAGCAGTAGTAGTGTGCTGTAGTGCATAGCCAGCTTGATTTCCTTGTGTGCACATTGTCTGCTATAAATCACTTGTAGGTTGTTTTAAATAATTACATTATTAAATTATACAGATACCTTATTAAACAGTTGCCTCAATTCTGCTTAAGAGAAATTTAAAAGGACATGTTTTCCTTTAATCCAATATTTTAACTAGAGTTCTATCCTTATTAAGGGCCTTAACTGAGCTGGTAAAAGGCACGTATCTATTCAATCAAGACTGTGATTCTAAGTATTTCTTGGGTAATTTCCCTGCTGGGACAGTGCAAGCCATAAGTTTCCTGAGTTATCTGACTCTGACTGTGAAAAGAAGTGAGACATCAAGAGGAGCTGAGGGAAGCTTCTCTAGAGCAATTTCTGAAGTAATTACATGCTCCGCCTTCCCCTAAGAAGGTGAACTTTGGAAATCTGTTCTCTTCTCCTACGTGTGTACTCGTGCTACAGCATCTTTGAGATGTTGGTAGTGATTTAAGTCATATTCCTAAGTATAGACAAGGGAATCACAAATTAGGTAAAATAGGTAGCTATATAATAGGCTGGAAAGCAATTAACAAACAGTTAAGAAGAAGTTCAGAAGACATATAGAGTGGTGTTGAAACAGCTGGGTAGAGTCTCAGTATTGCAGAGCAGGATCACAAACTGAACAGATAAAAATAAGTAATGTTCCTGTGAAAAGACAAACCTTACATGTATAGGTCTAGAAGTTTTTCAAAAATTTCTTCTGGTCTAATCTATATCAAGGATGCCTGATTTGGAGAACAGCATGCAAGCTGGGGCACTGTAGCTGAAGAAGAGGCTGACCAGAGAAAAAGGGGGGGAAAAGACAAGTGAATTGAAAAAATTAGATTTAATTTAGCCTGGGACAGCATGAACTGAAAATTGTCTTCAAAAATATATGTTCAGTGAAGAAAGTAATAAACTGTTTAAAGAATTAATACCTGGCCTAGACTTAATGTAAATTACCAGAATGCCCCAGCACCAGAGCTGCTTCTACATTCTGTATACTGTCCCATGTTTAGTTGAGACCAGACTGACTACTTCTCCCAATTTTGAAAGTGTAGGCCCAGAAGGTAAGCATCTGCAGTTGTAGAGAACTCTGCATTACAATATTGTGTGTTCTGGGTCAGAAACTAGACTCAATACAGGGATAAGAAACTAAGAAGAGGTAAGGTTTCAGTTTCTCCCTGTTTTTTAAAAGAGCCCTAGAAGCTGTTCTGCCTGGGATTTCTGTGGGCCTGTGCTGTTGAGATAGAAAGCTGTTAAATATTTTCTTTTCACAGGAGATAAAGTTACGTCTTTGAGTTAATTTGCTCTTGTATTCACAGTTTGGTTTGAGTTTTTTATCCTCACAACAGATCTGTCTTTTGGTGGTTTCCAGAAGAAGTCTGTAAGTCAGCAGCTAGACTTTTTTTCAGGACAGCTATATTCAAATTATAAACCATGAAGCAGATGTCAAGTATACCCTGTACCTTTTGCCTTTTCACTGCCCCTTTCATTACAAATTCCTAAGCGTGTCTTAAATTTACCTGACTCAAGTGCAAAGAAACTTGTACTTGCTTCCTGCACTGGCTGTCATACAGTGGTAATACATAGATGCATTCTTATGCTCAATTTGAATTTCATTTTGTTAGGTAGTGCCACTGGACAGTAACTTGGGCTTAGGAAATGTCTTTTGTATCCTCTTCTCTGTTATTGCTTTGTGTCATTGTGAATGTCATTTCATGGATGAGTTTATTATGGTCTCAAAAGGTTTTGCTTTTTTATCTGGTTTTGGCATTCTGAAAGGGAGACAAAAATTATCATTTCTTAGCACAACAAAATATTCTGTTTCTAAATATATACAGAAGGTCACATGGTTATCAAAGCATAACAGTTATTTTTGGAGTCATACTCACCAGGGGTGAATTTTCATGGCAGTTGTTTTTGCTTAAATAAAATGTCCCCTGCCTCCAAATTAGGCAGCTATAATGAACCAGATTTTTTATGAACCACATCTCATCATACACTTCCAACTGAATGGACTTCGGTTCCACTCCATTTGCTATTTTAGGTTTCTTTCTCCTAGCTTTCTGTCCTCTTCATTATGAGTCCTCCTTTTCAACTATGTAGATTAAATGTAGATAAAATACTTTGAAAATGAGTTCTAACACACTACAGGAAATTACAGTCTCATGGGTAATTAAAACAAAATGCATCATAAAGGCAATGAACCAAAAATTGCAGAACACGCTAATCTGAATTTGCTTTATTCTGCCAACTTCTAACACAGAAGTGGTTTGATGATTTCTGTGTCAAAAGAAAGTTTTTTTTTTTATGTTGAGAAGAACTTCAACATGATGCAAATAAAGAAGAAACTAAAATTAGAAAATGGGATCTGAAATGTCACCATCTTTCAGAAGGACTTTAAGGATGTTCAGTGTGTTTCTAAAAGTATAGAAAGTCCTGAGGCTGTTTTCAGCATTTCCTCATCCTAAGTTATTCAAAACACAAAGCAGTTTTCAATTCAAATGCCTAATTTTAATCCTTATGAAGATTTGATGTTATTAAGTGTGATATGCGTCTTGGCTAAAGATTTGTTTTAACTGTTAGCTGACCTGTTGTGTGATTCTTTTCATTTTATATTTAATGTTAAAAAATAAATGCATAAATTCTAAAATTATGTATTTATTTGTAAGCCTTTTATTATCACACCTACATGGAAGTTATTGAGTTATGAATAAATAAAATTATACTTAGTTTGAGAAAAGTTGCCAAATTGTGTACTTTAAAGATACCCTGTTTGAGGAGGGGAACACACTTCTTCTTTTTGATCCATTAATATCTTCTGCTGTAGCAACAATTACAATATAGAAAACAGGTCAAGGATGTTAATTGTAGTCAACAATAATGAAACCATGATAGCATCATCCACCATTGTCAGTGGGAATTTTTCATCACTTTCATGTAGTGATAAACATTCCTCATATCTTTTATTATCTGACATTTACTTTTACTTATAGGCTGTCCATCCATATGGATGATGAACTTCGACACATTGCACAGAATTCTCTTCAGGGCCTACTTGTTGACTTTGTTGACTGGCGGGAGGATGTACTCTTTGGTTTCACTAATTTTCTGCTACGTGAAGTGAATGATATGCATCATACCCTTCTTGATACTTCACTGAAGTTGCTGCTACAATTGCTTACGCAATGGAAGCTTGTTATACACACTCCAGGAAAAGCTTCTGAGCAGGCCAAAACCAGATCTGCAGAGGTATGGAATCAAAAGATCTATGTCATAACATTTTTACTAATTGAAGGCAGAAATTATGTTCCTTGATACCACTGTGGTTTGTGTATTTCATATTTACTCACCTGAGAAGAATTCACTATGCAAAATTTTTTTTAGGTAATTAGTTCATGTGTCTTTTGAGGACAGACATGTCCTTGTGTAATACAGCAGATGTTGTTGTTGAGCAACATAAGAGAATGCATGTCAAACTAAAATATGCAGTTCAACAAAAGCACATAAAGGGAAATATGTGTATGTAGATGTGGCAGAAAAACATTTTCCCAGGACTGAAACAGATTTATAATGCTAGTGGGAATGCTGTGAAGAGTGAAGTGGGTCTTCTTTTCCCTTGGTTGATTCAGAAACATCAAAAAACTTGATTGTTACCGTAGCCTGCTGCCTCCATGTGTTACAAACATTTTTGGGAACTGAGCAGCTTTTCTCCTGCTTCTCCCATCTGCACTGTCCCACAGATATTTTCATTATGATAAATGATTTTTAGGCTTCTTATCTCCTAAATTAATCACACTGAGTATGTTTTCCTTTGGGCAAAGAAGATGTGTGTTTTCTATCACAGAGGACTGTTAATGAATAGGTAATAACAGGAGTACATACAAATGTAGAAAAGAGAGTCCTCGCATACTTTTCATTAAATATTGCTACACTTTACTGGTGGGGTTGGGTTCTAGAGGCCACCTACCTAAGGTGTTGGCTGCTACAGGACCAAAGAACAACCTGAGGACATGCTATCTGGAGGAGAAAAAGTGTGGTGTTCACCATCTGACTCATTAATTAATTCGTTCTTTAGTGGAGGGTGGGAAAAAGAGGATAGATTAATTGAAAATTAGAGGAAAGGATTGATTTGATTCTTTGTATGTCCTAGTTAATAGAATATTTCTTGGAGACCTGGTTTGCAAACACCACCACTCCATTTTCCTCCCCTTGCACTGTTCTACAGTTGATACCAAACGGATCCAGCCACAGGATACAGTCTGAAAGGAGCCCCTATTCCAACGTCCTGCACGCAGTCGAAGGGTTCGCGCTGGTTCTGCTGTGCAGTTTCCAGGTTGCGACGCGGAAACTGGCTGTTCTAATCCTCCGAGAAATCCGTTCTTTATTCTTGGCCCTAGGCCAGGCAGAGGTAGGATTTTTCTCTTCTGGAACTTTGAGTTAAAATATCCTGAAGATAAACTGATGTTACAGTTGCTTTTACCATAATTGCTGCAGTGTAGCGGGTATGCACTTAGTTTATAAAAAAGCATTTGATCTCAGTTTACTATTTCTATTTGCCTTAACACTGCAGATCTTTCTGAGACCTTATGGACTCAATAATGTAACGTGAATGGCAAATGCCCTGTATAAGAATTTGAAGGGAAATGTACAGCAACTTCTATTTTCTCTTGGAATGATGTGAATATGAAATACACTGTAAAACTTTTTTTATTGCATGGGTCATTTTTGTATTGTCAAGATTATAAATTTACATTGGAAATGAAACCAATTCCTGTAGCATACCACTGTGGGTGAAAAAACCCACAGAATAAGACAGCTTTAAGATCATTCACCTACATTTCCCTTCTATAGTAAAGACCTCTAAGTCATTTTTATGGAGAGTCATGTTGTGTACTGGTGGTCACAGCTCAGTGAGCCATCTAAATGCCTAAGAACACAAATATGTGTTTTCATGGCAAAGGAATGCTTCAATAAACAGTAAGCTAATTTTTCAGTCTTTTGATACCAGCTATTCAAAGTCATTTGGGATTTTCTGATATGTGCTTTTGTTTGCTAAGCAGTGAGCTAAAGCCACAAATTAACTTCATTTCAAACCACAGCTCGGACTTAGTTCTGAGATTAATTTGAAAAAGACAAAATGTACTCATCATCAACAATGAATATTTTTAGCTACTTCAGAATCATGTCATAATTTTTAGATGTTTCTGTTGCATATCCCAGAAACATAAAAAGGGAAATAATTTGGTCAGGAGAGCAGTAAACTTGTATTTTCTGTGTTATTCAGGATGATGACAGACCTATGATTGATGTCATGGACCAGTTGAGTTCTTCTATTCTTGAAAGCTTTATTCATGTGGCTGTTTCAGATTCAGTAAGTACTACTTTACTGTTACTGCTTGTGTTTGCATAACAAATATTAGACATGAAATACTAAAAATAATACTGCTAAATCAAAGAAATCCTACAGCTTTAAGGCTCCAGCCATTTACCCAAGAGCTCCAAGGCTCCACAATGTCCCAGACAATCTGTTCCATGAAAGTAATTGTGGATATGGAAGATACTGCATACAGAAAAAAGAACAGTTGAGAAAGTCTTATCGCCAGCACCACCTAATGCTGTAGGCACTCACTGCTATCATCTTTTTGAGAAGGGAATCATCTTTAGCTCCCTTGTATCCTCAGAAAGTGACCTGCCTGTATGCCTGAGTGTAAGCTCCAGAGTAATTCACAGCAGGGGTGAATCTCTCGTTCACTCTCTCAGGGGTCTAATGTGTCTGACATGCATCAGAAGAAGCAGAGATTGAGCATTTTAAATAAAAAAGTGTCAGTAGGAGAACTGGTACATAAGACAACATGCTGTCCTAGAGATTAGTGAAAGGCCCATTTCCAGAGACCAGGAGCAATCTGTTTGGGGCAATTTTCAGCATGATTAAGTTTAAAGAACAAATGGTCCTGTCCACATTGAGTGCCCTTTCCAGGGCTGTGGATTTGAGCCACAAATTTGTGTGCTTAAAAAGTAACCCCAAGTAGTAGTCAAGCATCACACAGCTGCTTACTCAATTCCCCGCAGTGGGATCAGGGAGAAAATCCAGAAGGGTAAAAGCTGGAGAACTTGTGGGTTGAGATACAGACTGTTTAACTGGGGAAGCAAAAGCTGTACACACAAGCAAAGCAAAATAAGGAATTAATTCACCAGTTCCCATGGGCAGGCAGGTGTTCAGCCATCCCCAGGAGAGGAGGGCCCCATCACATATAGCGGTGACTTGGGAAGACAAATGTCTTCACTCCAAAAGTCTCTCTTCCTTCTTCTTCCCCCAGTTTTTTTGCTGAGCATGATGTCACATGGTTTGGAATCTCCCTTTGGTCAGGTGGGGTCACCTGTCCTTGCTTGTCTCCTCCCAGCCTCCCAAGATTCCCCATCATCCTCTCCAGCGTGGCAGTACAAGAAGCAGAAAAGACCTTGGCTCTGTGCATGCCCTGCTCAGCAATAACAAAAACAACCCTGTGTTCAGCACAAATCAAAACACAGCCCCATACCAGTCACTGAGAAGAAAATAAACTCTACCCCAGCCAAAACCAGCACAGAAGTGGATATTAAACTGGTGGGGAGTTTGGGCCCCTGTGCATCTGGAAACAGAAACTGAGCAAGAAAGAAACATTCTGACTTCATAATACAGGAATTAGGAAATTTGTCTGTAATAGCAGCACCTGGGTTTGGGTGTTGCAGTTTTTAGAGGCCAAGGTTTGAATTTTTTGCTTTCATTCTGTTTATTAATAATAAAGCAAAGCAAATGGGTTGCCTCTGTGCCTAGTTTCTGACTAGTCCAGCAAGGAGTGTTAATTTATCTTTTCTCTCCATAGACAACAATCCCATTAACTCACAGCGTGGATTTGCAGTGGCTGGTGGAGTGGAATGCTGTCCTAGTAAATAGTCATTATGATGTGAAAAGTCCTTCCCACGTCTGGATTTTTGCACAATCTGTTAAAGACCCATGGGTTCTCTGCCTCTTCAGTTTTCTTAGGCAGGAGAATCTACCAAAGCACTGTCCTACAGCACTCAGCTATGCCTGGCCATACGCCTTCACGAGGCTGCAGCTGATAATGCCTCTTGTGGATCCAAAGTAAGTGGAAATCAGCATTTCACTTTCTTTTGTGTGGGCTGTGTGACTTTAATATAGTGATTTTAATATAAACTTTTATTTGGTCTTGTGTTTGAGTATTGGTCCACACATTCTGCAAGGCGTGGCACACAGAAATTGGCACCACACAGGTTTGAGTTTCATAATTGTAATTTGTAAGGTGGAAAACTCCCATTTTCTACCCTCATTGATTTTTCTTGTGTATCATGACATGTTGAATTGCAGCTGGTAGATGCATAACATTATTTATTCCCTCTTAAAATGTTTTAAACTACTGTAATTAAGACCGTAGTACTTGTAATTAAGACTGGAAGATAATTTTAAGAATTACAATGTATTTTTAAATTCTAGTATTCCTGTTAATGCAAAGAAAACAAGTACAGCAAGCAGTGGAGACAACTATGTTACTTTGTGGAGAAACTACCTTATTCTGTGTTTTGGAGTAGCAAAGCCCAGTATTATGAGCCCAGGACACCTGCGTGCTTCAACACCAGAGATCATGGCTACCACTCCTGATGGAACAATGAACTATGATAATAAGGTGATGCAACCTGTTACAAGTAAACTATTCCTTCAGGAGAATTTCAGCTGTATCTGCATGCAAAATCCTATCCTGATGAAATTAGTTCAGTTAGGGAATATTTTGATATATGCAAACTACATAACACATAATTAACAATTAAAACACCTGGTATGATGATGTGATGATAACTATTTGGCAAGAACCATGGTGTTTTCAATATAGTACTTTTTTCTTTTTTTGTTTTTACATTCTGGGCAATGTGCATTCAAAATATAGAAGGTCTGAACATGTGTTTTTAAATTAACTTTAGTTTCTCATCTCCTTTCTTTCTTTGTAGAGCACTGCAATTCATAAATTTAAAGCATTAGGAAATAAAGCAGAATTCTGAATGCAAATTGTATTCCTGTTGGATATATGCCTATCAGAAGCAATAATAAATAAAATACGCTTTCAAGTAGTAGCAACCTGAGAGGAGCAGTATCTCCACAAATGCAATTACTGGAATATTTTAATGAAACAACAAATAAAGTAAATTGCAATAATCTGTACTAAAGCAAAGAGATTTCCCAGATGTATTTACTTGTTAGGTATTGAGATGATTGTCAGGTAGCAGATATCCAGGTATCTGTATAATTTAATAATGGTGGATTGATATCCATAATAATAAAATCATTCCAGCATGTTTTTTTTAAATATGTATTGATTCTTAGACAATGTTTGTTTGTACAAAAAATTGTGTTTACTTAATATTGATATCCTGACAAATTCAACAATATTTTAATATATTTTAGGCTATTGGAACTCCATCTGTTGGAGTCTTACTAAAGCAGCTAGTTCCTTTGATGAGACTTGAAAGCATAGAAATAACAGAATCACTTGTATTAGGATTTGGAAGAACAAATTCCCTTGTTTTCAGGTACTTCTCCACTTATCATATTCTCAGTTATTTGCCTATAATACAAGTGCTTTATTTTTGTTGTAACTTAACTATATATTTTAAATTTTATTTGCACTTTAGAACTTCATTTTTATAAGTTGGATAAAATATCTATGCTTTTCAAAGGACATTAGATTTTGTTTATAAGTATTTATGTTTTTTTAATTTAGGGAATTAGTAGAAGAACTCCACCCACTAATGAAAGAAGCCCTAGAAAGAAGACCAGAGGTCAGTTGGAAAAATCAAATGTACTAGTTTTTTTTAAATGAAAAATTATTTTTAAAATAGTAATTCTGTCTGCTTGAAATACAAATATATTCTTTTGTACTAACTAGCAAAATAATTCTGTTTGCAACAAGGATTTTATTAATTGCATAATTTAAAATAATTCCCTTAAAACCTAGTTTAATTTAAATTCTATCAGTGATCTGAAATGTACAATATAGAATTCTATCCTGAGGAAAAATTTCCCATCCAATATGGAACCTCCTGATACAGAACTTGCATATATTGGAAATTTACTTTAAGTATCTGAAAAAAAGTCAGCTTTAACGCAGCACATTTTGTAGCAATGTTTAGATGTGCTTTTATTTTCAGGGCAGGCAGGGTTACCTATTTCAACTTCATGGAATCACAGAATGGCTGGAAGGGACTGAAGTGGTCCAGCCTCCCTGCTCAGTCAGGGTCATCCTGGATCACATGGCACAGGATTCATTCCAAATACATTCAGTTAACTGACAAATTCATCAGTTTTCACCTTCATTATAGCGCTCTCTTTAGTTACAAGAGAAGGTAGTGCTGGAAGGGTTCCCAACAGATCTTCTAACCCATACAAGAGAGAATTCTGTGTTCTTAAAAACCTGTGGTGGTAAAATCTGTAGCCTCAGTAAGCAGTTTTGTCATGGGATGTGTCTATGCAGCTAAACATAAAAGCCATGGGGAGAGCTTCAGTCCTGGACTCAAGTTCTGCTCAGGTTTCCCTCCTTGACTGAGTTTTGGGCCATTCCATCTGGCTCCAAGATAGATATCTGAGATGGCGCATGGACAACTCTTAGTAATTCTGTGTCTGGTAAACATCCACAATCATTTCCATTCTGCATTGCGTCACACCTCGATTCTGTTGTGTGGCTTCCATTCCTATGAAGTCACTGATTTGAAGGTCACTGGTTTTGATACTGGGCAGAAGTGGATTGATACACCTTAGTGCAGCCACTTGCCTCTGCATTTTATCTGTGTGCCATTTAAGACAATTTAGACTTGAAAAACCTTTTCTGGAGACATACATATCCAGTGTACCCTCAGGAAAGGAACTGGAAGAATTCAGAAGTTTACTGCATGCAGCAAGAGCAAATTTAGCACATGGAATTGTCAGTAGATGAATATGAGAACAAGAGACGGCAATGTTAATTCCTGTATTTTTCCTGATATGAAAAGATGGGACACCTTCCTGCAAAGCAGTGCCACCTGGAAGCCCAGGAGTGACTGCATGGGCTGTGTGGCTGTAGAGAACATGGCAGGCCTCCATGTCAGCAGGCAGGTATCCGACACACCAGGACCAATGTCCTTGAACATATGCTATGACTAGGAAGAGAAGTCCCAGCATGGCCAAGAGCTGCAGGGATAAACCAGAATGGACATTACACAAGATCCGCCCTGTGGGTGCTGGCACAGATCTTGCCAGATCACCTCTGACACTGCTGCAGGAGGCAGCTGTTTCTGGTAAATACTGCATTACAATAAAACTGCTTTTTTCTCTACATGTGCTTCCTGGAGCCTTAAAGGTGTAGCAAGAGAAAAACAGGACTCTGAATAGAACAAATCAAATGGCATAATTATTTGAATAAAACCTTTGGCTGGGATGCTGCAATTCTGGCAATTCTGGGTCAGAATGCCAGACACAGCATCATTTTTTTCTCCCACACATCTACTGCTGGCCATGGACAGAGCCAGAGTCCTGGAAGAGATAAGCCTTTGATCTTAGTATTGCTCAGTTTTGAAGAGCAAAATCTGCATTTTCTCTGAGCTTTTCTTGTTTCTTTGAGTACAACACAGTTTTTTTTTATCTTCTCATGTTTTTCTTGCTTAGGGTTGTTACAGAATGCAGAAGTCAATTTTGCCTTTCAGCAAAGAACAGGCCTTGTTGCATTCACATCTTTCCAGGAAAGATAGAAGACAGAAAGGACAGCTTTCTAGAAGACAGAGAGATACAATGAGCCAGTTAACCACCTTGCAGTCCTGCTCTGTGGGAGGGATGCATTACTGTGGGCAAAACCCCTGCAGCCAACACACCCAGTATTGGAGTGGAGCGGTGTCTGCTAGGAGCTCACTTGAATGTGAATGATGGTGTGCTGCAGCATTGCCAAATTCAGGAATGGCTAATCACTAAGATACCTTCCTTAGGTCTGGATATACGTTCTGCACTATAAGTGCTTCCAGCTCCCAAACTAGATGACATTAAACTGACATTAATATCCTTGTTACCTGAAGATAGCATGGTGTTTTGGTACAGGTACCTTGAATATTAGTTATTTTTATCCAGTATTTCATTATTTAATTTCCACATTTTCAATAAGTACTAAGGCAGTTGTTAATATTTTTTTTTTCAAGGATACTTACAAAGACAAAAAATTGATCATATTCAGTTCTTTGTTTATGTATAAGCACAATGTTACAGTGCAATATCCAAAAGTACTCAAGTTCCTTCATGAAGAAAAGTTTTGAACTGGAATTCTTAAATCTCACTACAATACTGACATTTCTGAAGCTACTAGTTTTTAATGTGTACACCTATGCATATAATCATGGTTGTTATTTTAAATTCCAAGAACAAGAAACGTCGAGAACGACGAGATCTACTAAGACTGCAACTACTGCGAATTTTTGAACTCCTTGCTGATGCTGGTGTTATAAGTGACAGGTAGGACTATCACTCATCGTAAATACTGATTTTTTATATGAAACAATTCTCAGTGTTTGCTACACTGAGATTATGTCAGTATGTTCTTTGAAGAATTTTGTGATCTATAAGATATGGAGAGATTTATATGCATTTTTTGCAGAAAACTGTAGCATAACTACTCTGTTATTCTGTATTCATGTGCACCTTTCCTTTATGCTAGTACAAATGGAGCCTTAGAAAGAGATACACTAGCCCTTGGAGCCTTGTTCTTAGAGTATGTTGATCTGACTCGCATGCTTTTGGAGGCTGAAAATGATAAAGAAGTTGAAATCCTTAAGGATATGAGAGCACATTTCAGTGCAATGATTGCCAACTTGATTCAGTGTGTTCCAGGTATGGAGCTAAATTATGCATTTAATATAAATATTGGATAAGTAGTTTTTTGTTTCTTTTTTTTGTCTGTGCTTTTTTCACTGCTTTTGAATTTTCATTTAGTGAATGTAAAGTGGAATATAGAAAAATAAAGTATTCTGAAGTCTATTAAGATTGAAATAAAAATATCAATAAAACTTGATGAAGCTTGTAATAGTCATGTCGAAGAATTGCCTCTTAAAAGCCTATCAAAGAAATTGTGACCTCCAGGGACTCAAGATTTCTTCCTCTTATTTTGTCCCATCTGACTTGATGCCAGACTCTTCATAAACTCAGACAATGTGCAATATTAAATGTGCAGTGAAAAATTTGCCCAAGGTCTTGAGACAGTATCCCATGTTACCTGAGTCAAATTGTATCACAAAGATTTATCCAGTTGATTTCATGCTTTTTATATATGGAAATATCACTTCAGAGATATAACACAATTACATTAGCAAAAAAAACAAAACAAAAAAAAAATCTCTGCTTTAAAGGCCTGAATGTAATTACTGGAAGATGAGGTCTGAGGCTTTTTTTTTTATTTGCTCAGGTAACTCAGCTGTTCAGAACATATGCCACATATTTGTCATAAAAATGTGCCACCAAGTTTCTTTTATTTATTGCCCTTACCTATTACTGTATTAGAGCAAGACACATGTATTGTTTAGGTTCAAATTTAAAGAATTGGAAAAACCAAATAAATATTTGCCATGTAAGGAATGTGGGAGGCAGTGAAAAACCCTGATTTTATTATTAGATTTTTAAATGCTTTTCTATAGTCAGGTGTACATGTTTGTATAACTCCACATTAATCCAAAACTGAAGGCTCTTAGAAGTAAGATGCACCTTACTCACTTGGTTAGATTTTTTTAAAGGATCTTAGATACTTTGGAGTAAGTCTATGTTGAACATACAGAAACCCCTCTCTTTTTGTAGAAATTTGAAAATCATGTAAGCATTGTGCCACATGAATGTTTAATATTAACAAATCACAACTATTTCTACTTCTGTTCACTTAGTTCACCACAGGAGATTTCTCTTCCCTCAGCAGAGCTTGAGGCATCACCTGTTCATCTTATTCAGTCAGTGGGCAGGACCTTTCAGTATTATGTTCACACCACTGGACCGTTACAGTGACAGAAATCACCAGATTACAAGATACCAGTATTGTGCATTAAAGGTACTAAAGTTTCATTATACAAGCCAGTAACAGCAATTTTTCAGTAAAAATTCAATTTGTTGTGGGATCTGTTTCCTTTAACTTCAAAGAAATTTGAATTGGCATACTTGATGCAAACTTGTATGCTCATACGTATTTGTACAGTGGTATCATAGAATATAGCATTGAAATTATTTTTTTTATTTGTTGATACTTTTCAAGGCTAATTATTTTAAAAACCAGTGTGCATTTTGAAATTTTACTTAGCTGTTAATTTACCAGATTCAGCAAGGAGCTCTTAGGCACTGAAATTAGGTACCTCAGGGTGCTGAATCTGTACCAATGTACAACTCTGGAATGCCTCCCACGCTTGCCTGGAGACATGCACAATAATAATGTATTTCTGTGGCAAAACTAGTTGCAGCTCCCCTGCATGAGTAAGCTGGGAAAGTAATAGCTTATGTACTTACATAAGCTGCACCACTTGCTGTAAGAGAGTTTTAATTTTTGCAGTAACATACAATTGAAACATCTGAGTATATTTTAATTGTTTTTGTAGCTTGATTTATAAATACTGGGTAAAATGACAAAATATATCTTGAAGATAGTACTCCCCCCAGAATGCTTTGAACATGATCTGGAATCCAGTAAAATCTGTAGCAAAATAATTACTGAATTCTACCAGTCAGTCAGCTGTTACCATTTCCCCCATAGTTCCCTCCAAACAGAAAGCAAGTGGCAGTCCTGTTAGCCTGGACTCAAATCATTCTGAAAGGTTGATTGTGTTACTTTTTGGGTGACTGAAGTGCCATGTGTTTCCAGGCCATGTCGGCTGTGCTCTGCTGTGGACCTGTGTTTGATAACGTTGGTCTCTCCCCCGATGGATATCTTTACAAATGGCTGGATAACATTCTGGCTTGTCAAGACTTACGTGTAAGTACTGACCGAAATGGCACACTAATGGGCAGTTTCTCACTGTGCTGAGGGAGTAAAGAGTTTATAAAGTGTTTTCTTTCTTCTTAAAGAACATGTAATGGATTATTCTTGCCATTTTCCATTTCTGTGAAGATGGGCTTCAACTTTGTACCTAGATAGGCATAGTTCTGTGTTTGTAGCTGATTGAACTGCCTTTTTGAATGAGGAGGAGTAGACTGGTGATTTGTATCAAGTGGAAACAGAGAGACAACAATCTTTCCCTTTTGGTATCTTGCACCTTGTCCTGCTGTTCTCCCTAAAACTCTCATACCAGCACACGTAACTCTGCTAAGGAAAGGTAAGTAGCAGAACATAAATCAATGCATATGAAGCAGCTAGAGGATAGAGGCTGTGGGAATGGTAATTGATTAGGAAAAAAAAAAGTTGAACAATTTAAAGAAAGAATGAATAGCTGCAGAGAAGATACTTCAAAAATTACATGGGATTTTGGAATATTGGTAGGAACAGAGCTATGAAGATAAGTGCAAGTGATATGCAGTCTCTACAAGCAGTCACCTACAATTGGTGACAGAATATTAATAGGCATTGGTTACCAGCACTATCCTGTACCAAAAGAACATGAAGTCCAAGTCTTAGTTGCATTTGTAGCAGTGGTGGTAGCAGGATTAAGGGATTAATGGTCTGTAGGAAGAGGTGTTAGGTTGCTTGATATAGTTGGATTAAAAATACAAGTTTTCAGTCTTGTAAAAGGTATTTTTCTTCATCTGCCTTGCTTCTGTGTTGGTCAAAAGAAGGATAAACATGGAAGTTTGTTGTTCTGTGAAATTCACATGAAGTAGGAAATAGTTAACAAGTCAGTTAACTGATATAAAAGGAAGTTGCCCAAGAACACCTATCAATTATCCTAGATATTCTGAAAAATCTGCTTTTTTTGTTATTGTGCCCAGTTTTGGAAAATCTATTTCATTTATGTAGTCTGTGCAAACCATTTTTTCAAGTGATAAGCATTGAAACCTGAGTCACATTCCAACTCTGCTATCCCTAAAATAAATATATTACAAATGTTCTGATTTCTTATTACATATTTTAATTTTCCATTTTCTCCCTGTTTTACCTATGTCACTCTGAGAATTTTAAAGAATGAACATATCTGACCCCATCAATCACATTTTGATGTTTGCTCAGGTTCACCAGCTTGGCTGTGAAGTTGTGGTCCTGTTGCTAGAACTGAATCCTGATCAAATCAATCTCTTCAATTGGGCTATAGATCGATGTTACACGGGATCATACCAGCTTGCCTCTGGGTGTTTCAAAGCCATTGCAACTGTGTGTGGAAGCAGGTATTAATTAATTTATTAATCTACACTTTCAAATGTAAGAAAGCTGAAGGCTCAGCTCACTGCATTGTTAGGAACTGTATGTCACACTCACTCTTCTCAAAGAGTTTTTGGGACTGTATAGCTTGATTTTCATGATTCTGAAAACAAATTATGTGCTAGGTAGAAGATTTTCTTACTATAGTTATATTTGAAATCTGGAGAATTTTGATGCTGTTTTGCTCAGAAAGATACAAACAAAGCCACAACAGTTTTATTTGAATGTAGGTCATAAATCTGGTTTCAAAATATTTGGGTTGGTTTTTAATTTAATTTTTAAAAGGAAGAATGTTTTAAATATCGATAGCTTGAAAGTCATTATTTTGACATTATCTTGAAAGTCATGTTCTTTTTCTAAACTGACTTTCAGTTGATTTGTTTAGTTCCTTTCCTGTCAACTGGTATCATCATTACTGCTAATGCTGGGAAAGCACAAGCTTCATGAAGACATTAATACAAATATTGCTTTGTGTCAGACCTTCATAAAGCTCTATCCCTTTTTTATTTTCAAATAAAAAGTTTATAGAGAAATTAAATAATGCAGTAATTTATGTCTTATTAAAATAAATGTGAAAATTTACTTGTCACAAAAATAATTTGGCAAGATGTCTGATCAGCATAGAGAAATACTCAATAGAGAAATAATTTGGATTTGGAAAAGCAAAATAAGTCGTGAATATCATCTTTTTCCTGTAACACTGTTTTGTTCTCGCAGGAGCAACTAGATGAGAGACTGCATGGATATTTTTTAAAATATGAATGGAATTTGGTGTTTGCAAATTCAGTTATGTTAACAGGGTTTTTATTTTAATGAACACAGAAACATAGCAGTTTCAGCCAGTCTTTTTTCCTCAAATTGTGTTACCTGTGCTAATGTGATCTAAAAATTATTCTTTTCCTTTCTTTCAGTAAAAAATTAGAGTATGATCTTTGTGATTTATTTTGAATGGAAAGTCCTCTTTCTAGCAAGCTGGGAATTTTTATTAATATTTGAAAGCTGTTAATAGTTTTTCCTATATAATCTGTAAAAATGTATCAGGCGAACACTGCTTAAATTACCTGTAAAATGAGCAGCAATTGATCATGTCCATCCAGCTTTCTACAGAGAAGCCACTTCATTTATTTTCTTTTTTGCATTTATTTTTTAAGCAGTGGAAGGGCAAAAAGCCAGTTACAGAGCTTGGCTTGAACCTAGTATATGGAATTACTAAGAACGTCCCATGCCACACATGGTGTGCCGTATTAAAAAGTCCAAATAGGCATCCTGCAGCCATCCAGGAGCACTGTAGCTGACATCTAGGGTGATAAATCAATGGTTCACAATTCAATCAGTGCATTTACAAATCATCATGAGAAAACAGAAACCTTTTTAGTGCAAATCCAAATACTGTGATGGGAGATTTACTCCTCTAACAATATTCTCATTAAGTTAACACTTTGATATGTTTGACCTTATAATTGATATTAACTTTATAGATAGCAGGTTTTTTGAAGTGGTTCTTAATGTTTACTCTTTGAAAACAATTTTCATAGAATTGTCTAATACCTCAGAATGTTCATGTCAGAGATAGTGTCTTTTATCCAAAGGGACTATTTTAATTGCATCTGGTCTTAAAAAATTCTTTATCCCTGGAAATGTTCATGCTGCCCATTTTCTTTCATGGGTGTCAGCCTGTCCTGTAAACAGTTTATGCTATAAATTAAAATGAATTGACTGTCATAGACACAGGTATTCCATTTCTCATTGTGGGTAACTCAGTGCATTCCTAAGCATTGGTCCAAGGTAATTATAAATAATCCTTTATTTCTTCCCATTCACCAGATGATCCTTTGATCAAGCAGTGTTTATTCATAAGAGCTCCCTTTCCCATATTCTGATGGTAGAAGAGAAGAAAGAAAGATGACATACTCCTTAGGCCATATTACAGAGTAAATCAGAGTAAATATAATCTGCATTCCTCACCAGAATTCACAAAAATGTTCTTTTTATTCTTCTAGGAACTATCCTTTTGATATTGTGACACTTTTAAATTTGGTGCTGTTCAAGGCATCTGACACCAACAGAGAGATTTATGAAATCTCCATGCAACTTATGCAGGCATGTATCAGTTACTTATTTTTTCCTTCTGTCCTTGGAGACTTTTTTGGTGATCTTCTTATAAAGTACTGTTATTTGCACATTATTTTTTTTCGAAAATAAACAATCGGTTTTGTCTTGGCTATAGAAGCCCAAATATTTATATAGAAATGAATGCTATCATGTCTTTCATATTTGGAGCATATACTCTGAAACATACAGAGCATTCTCTGATAGCTAAACTTCAAAGGCTGATATTTCCTGATTTAATCAAATTTTTTTGTCTCATTCCTTTTTTTCTTTTCTTTTTTCTTCTATAGATACTTGAATCAAAGCTTTTTGTTTATTCAAAAAAGGTAGCTGAGCAAAGACCAGGCAGTATCTTGTATGGGACACATGGTCCATTGCCCCCTCTTTACAGCGTCTCACTCGCCCTTCTCTCATATGAGCTAGCAAGGATGTATCCTGAACTTACCCTTCCACTTTTTTCAGGTACCTGTATTTATTTGACTTATTATCTCCTTTACATTTTTTTACAAATGCTAGACTGCTACCATTTTGAACCACAGTTCTGTTCATAAATTTAGCTTGACCTGGTTTTGTTCTGGTTCAGATCAAATCAGATTTAGGAATCCAGTATATATTTCCTAGAGGTACTCACACAATGTACAGAAACCCTCTTTGGGGACTCTGTGCCACTTATGTGATCTTGGGCTAACTTTGAAATTACAAGTGCCCTGAATGAGGTAAAATGACATTGGCAAACTCTACTATGATGGGTTCTCATGTGATTTTTCTTACCCATGGATTTACAAAGATCATACTTGTGAGGATGTATTTCTTCATTCTACATAAACATGACTTTTACTTTGGGCAGACTGATTGCCTGTGTCCAGTTCTACCAATGATTCAAACTACTCTGAGTGATTTCTACCTTTTGTTATTTGCCACATCTGCATATCTCAGCATTTTTAAAATTTTATCAGAAATATATATTTTCAGGATTACTGAGAAAAATGTTAAAGAATGAGACCTGCAGGAGCACAATTCAGAATATACCCACTGTGAAGCCATTCCTGGGAGCAATGATGTTTTGAGACATATTTATCTGGTTTAATCAATCTTATGTGTTGCTCTAGTTTTTAAATAATAGAATGCAAATGTCTGTAATCATGGAAATTTTTACTGGCTCTTTAAATCCCTTTCTGTTGTTTTTACTCAGTCTGTAGGGGCTAGAGGGAGGGTAAAGGAGCAATACATCACCATTACATTTCTCAGTGCCCAAGATACCATGAGTTATAAATAACTGGTGTAGGGAAATTCTGATGTCTCATTTGTCATTAAGCAAATGCTGTTCATTATCTCTGGTATCACCTACTGACGTTTGTGCAATGACTGTCATTTTAAAAAATCTCAGATATACTGGATATTACAGTCCAAGTGAGACAGCCTTTCTGTACATCTAGAATCATAAGGAGGAGGGAACAGTGTGTGTCTTCATGATTTTTAAAAACCAAGGAGTGAGTGAAAAAAGGAAATGTTTGCTCTACTGATTTTACAGAAGAATTCTGGTACAGAGAAATAATGTGGTTCGCTTTGGCAGGAAGCTGTGTTTCTTATCCCAGATTTTCCAAATCTCTTTGCCTTACAATACCAGTTCTTTTTTTTTTTTTTTGTAAACTATATAAAGTGCTATATACAAGCATTCCTGAACTGACAGCCAGCTATGAATTTTATAGACTTTCCCACAGGAAGTAGGATCCCAATATATGCAAGATTTCTTTTGTAAACTCGATATAATAAGTGCATTGTTATTTAAACTATATCTTAGAAACTTGGAGGCTAGTGAGGCATTTGTAATCTGCAGAACACTTTTGTATATTCTCCAGAAGCTCTTGGAATTCTAGAGTAACCACCAGTAATTGAATTATCCTTTTTCTTCTTTATTGACATGCACCTTACTTAATGTTAACACAGCACAGTAACAAGGGGTGACTTTCTGTTTCTTAGCCCTGACTCTGACTGACTTAGTTGTTTTAGACAGAAGATATGACCAATTGCTTGCTATTACTGAACTAATTCTATGTTTCTCTTCAGGAAATTCAAGAGCATGTTTTTTATGCTTGTGGTGTGCAAAGTAAAAACTATCAGGTAGTCTAACATATGTCAGAAATGTGATTTAAACAGTGTATTTAGGGTTTCCATCATAAATGAATATGTTGTCCTTTTCAAATCTTACTGTTTTAGAGGTAAGCCAGCGATTTCCAACAACACATCCAAATGGAAGACAGATCATGCTTACCTATCTGCTACCATGGCTTCATAATATTGAACTGGTAGACAACAGACTGCTCCTCCCTGGCTCAAGCCCTACCACTCCAGAAGATGAACTGAAGGACAAGGATGGGGAAATAGCAGTCACAAGTGGACTAAAAGGCAATGGCTGGGGCTCACCTGAGGCCACCTCCCTGGTTCTTAATAATCTCATGTATATGACAGCTAAGGTAAAAAAACAAATCAAACAAAGAAACTAACCTGTAAAAGTTTTGTTTCTTCCCTCTAGTACCAGAAATTTTACACTGGAACAGTCTGTACCAATCAAACAAAACCTGCTTAATTTTAGGATTTCTTTTTGAATTTACAGTCCTCAAGACTTTTATGTTCTCTTATGATTTAAGTCCTTCTGTGGATCAGAACCTAAGTAGTTTTAAATTGAGTTAATGCTCTGAAATCTGTCAGGTAGCTATTTAAAATACTGTTTTGTAACTTTCTACAGCATTTCACTGGGAATTTTTTGTGTGAGAAAATGTTCTAAAAGAACATGCTTTAGTTTGGAAGTCTGCGTATTTCAAAGAATGTATGCCTATGATTCATTGCAGTATGGAGATGAAATTCCTGGACCAGAGATGGAAAATGTCTGGAATGCTTTGGCCAACAATGAAAAATGGAGCAACAACCTTAGGATAACACTGCAGTTCCTCATTAGTTTGTGTGGTGTTAGCAGTGATACCATCCTTTTACCCTATGTAAGTCTTTGCACTTTATTTTATTTACTGCTGATTACACAGGTTGTAGTGAAGAAAACAGCTATTACCTGCAGAAAATTAATTTCTATATCAAAAACAAGATATACCAACATAGTCCCCAACACACTGAACAAAATAAAATGGCAGGAATAAAAGTGCCAGGAAACTGAAATTTAAAAAAAAGAAATTGAGTAGTTTAAATCTCAACCTGCAGCAGCAGAGCATACCCCATTGCAAGTGAGAGGTGGGTTTCTCTCAAGCAAAGAGAAACCTTGCATGTCTGTGAATGGGGATAGTAACAGAGACTGGCTATAAATTGCCAGAAACTGCTACATCCTTTTCTTTAGCAGACTAGAGCTTTCTGTGGGACATCTCAAGAGACAGAAGATAGTTACCCTTTATAAGCTCATTACCATATCAGCTTCTGCCTCTGCATGACTGTCATAAATTATCTAACAGTTGCTGCAATGTGCAACTCAAACTGTGCTGTATATTGTTATTATTCAAGTTAAAATAAAATCAGGACTGTCTGAGAAAAACAGGCAACTTCCATTCCCATGTTCCTTTTTGCTCAGTTGCTGAGTTAAACAGAATCTAAATTTAGTGAATTTTCCAGACCAATTACAATATGGTTTTTATTAGTTAGCCTCTTTACATTTATTTCCCTGAAATAAATCTGAAATTTATCTAAAATGACTCATAAACACACTTCTATTACAATTACTGAAATAATAGTTTGCCTAAATTGTTTATAATGACTGCTATGCATATTAGAATAAAGAAAATAAAGAAGCCTGTACAAATCCTCAAAATATTGTTGTATCATAGGCATCCCATTTGTTTCCTCTCATTCGTAGGATTTACTCTTCTATATTCTCAAATCAATGTGTATGTATGCCTAGCTAGACAAAAGTAGAAAAATTGGGAAGTGGAATTGGTGTAAGAAAAAGCTCAAGGTTCATATGAGAGGAAAACAAAGGGGTTGATCTGAAATAAGATCTTTCCTTCAATTGTTGCAGAGTCTTTCCATTCAGTGTTGACCATGCTTTGAGCAGGAGTTTAGATAAGAGACTTCCCAGCTTCTTCCCAGCTTGCCTCATCCTACAATCTATGACAGACTTGGGGTTAAGGTGATCTCCATCTGTGTTGGCAGAGAACAAGTGGAAATCACCTATTAAGAGAGAAAACAGAAAATGAGGGCTGTTACCCTCATTTCTGACAGCTCACAAAAGGAACAGGGGCAGTTTTCTGAGAGGAAGGAGTAGTCCTCTGCTGACTCCTTATGTAGCCTGCCTGGAAAAGCCTGATAACCCTGTCACCTGTTGCCCAGGAGTCCCTCACATACCTTATCCCCCATCCAGACACTTGCCAAGCCAAAGCTTTCAACACCTCCTTTTTCCATAACTCTTGACATGCCACAGCTCTGAGCAGCCTTTCCTCAAACCCCCTCTGCCCAGTGCACTTCTTTCTTCAAATTCTTTTCTGCCTCAATGCCTCAGCTTTCACTGTCCTGTCCTCCTCCAGGACAGTAGAGTCCTCTTACTTCAGGAGAGCAATCTGTTCTGACATCTCCAGCTTCATCTGCTCAGTATCTCCTGTTTTGCCTGTGGGACTTTTCTGGTCTCCCACCCAGGCTTCTCATGGCTGGTGACAGCAGCAGCTGACAAGGTTCCCATGTTTTCTACCACCCAGTTAGTCTGTGTTTTGTCATGTGAGTCAAAAGTCTGATTCTTAGATTTTGCAAAATCTGAAAGAGTTTTAACTTCTGTAGGAAGCCTGACTGTGTTTATGAGTCACTCCTTTGCTGATAGCTTTGTCTGGAGTAGGAAAATACACTGGTCTTATCACATGCATCTGCTCAGTGTTTTGCTAATGCCCTGGAGTTGACAGATAAGAAATCCTACCTAACTGTTAACTACACAAGACTCCTGATACCATAAACGTGTGTCTTCCATTATCATGTAGATAACAGATGCACGTTTGCAAATAAAGATCATTTGGACAGTTTATCAGCAGTGTTCCAGGTCACCTGGGCTTAAAAGAGCACAGAGCTGCAAGATTGCCAGTTTACCTATCTCCTTTAGGAGCCCCTTGTGCCCTGAGGCAGTCACCAGCTGCTTTGTGTCTTTGGCCATCTGTTCTCCTCTGTGGGTCCAAGCCAAAAGCATGCCTGACTCACATTTTAAAATACTTTTTTTATCATCTAAATTAATTGCTTTGTCTCTTATGTTTCCTTTAAGCATTTTTTCCAAGTGCCCCACTACAAATTGCTGAGCTGTCCATTCTTTCACATATGTACTGAAAGATTTCTTAGTATTTGCAGTTCAGAAACCTCTTCAGCAGAGACTCAGTGTTGGGAATGTGACCCCTTCAGCGGTGAGAGAAGCTGAAAGTGGCACTGTGAGCCCAACCAGAAATAAGCCTCAGGAAGATGGATTTGTCTCTGGAAAGTCCCTGGGAAATTTTTAGCACAGTAGAGTAAAAGAGACTGCATATGTGCGTTTTCTCTAAGGAAAAAAAAGAAAGGAAAAGAGAAGCAGTAAGGAAGTTATTTTAATGGAAGTATTTAAGAGTCTAAGAACAGCATTACTTGGTGAGGCAGACAGGCTGTTCAGTCTAATATATTTGCTCCCCTTTAAGCACCTGTTTAAGCACAGTTCAAAAACAAGCAGGTAAGCACAGAGAGATATTCCCCATATGGTCTCCCAGCTCCAGCAGTTTATGAATCAAGTGGTTTTGAGCTGGAGAGAGTCTCTGCTTTTAGTAGTGATCAGGGTTTTTTTTGCTCAAGAATACAGCCGAATTTGGTCTCAGTATCTCAACAGTCCTCATTGCTGCAGTGCAAATTTGAGATCTTGTTAAAAGATTTATAGAAATTTCAAGAGTTTTTATAAATTATACTCTCAGATTTTTTAAAATCAGGATACATGAAGTCTGTGTACATAATTGCTCTGTCTTTTTTCCATTGGCTATTACTTTGCTTACAGATATGAGTAGCAACTCAAAGCCCATCTTACTCTTTGTGACCACAGCTACAGTTTGTAGATGTGCATGTTATGTAGTTATATACCTCAACAATTCGTTGTGAATGTTAAGCAAAAACGTGGAAGCCAGTAAATCATAGGGTCAGTCTGCTGGGGAAATGATGTCAAAGTGAGAAGTTTTATTTCCATATGGACTGTATCTTTATACAGTTGTGGTGTGGTGTCTCTCCATGAACAACACTTGCATTCTAGATAATTTCAGTACTGCAGTGTAACACTCATGGAATCCTTTGGAAATTCACTTTGGTCAGAGTTTAACAACTGTTACTTTCTCCCACAGATAAAGAAGGTTGCAATATATCTGTGTCGCAATAACACCATTCAGACAATGGAAGAGCTTCTGTTTGAGCTGCAGCAAACGGACCCAGTGAACCCCATAGTCCAACACTGTGATAATCCTCCCTTTTACCGTTTTGCTGCCAGTAACAAAGCCTCAGCTGCAGCTTCTGGTATGACCTGAATGTGTCTTCTTTATATTCTCCTGCTCTTTTGAATCTTCATCTCTTTGCAAAAAACAATCTCTTACTTTTGCATCCATTCAGAACAGTACATAAAGTACAAGTTTCAGGGCCTTGTTGCATATCTAAATTACAGTTTTTTTTCATTCCTAATGATGTATGTGCTTTGTTAACGTGTGCTTAATTATCTTAACTATTTTAATAGCATATTACTAATATTTGATGTTGTTCAGAATTCTGCCACTCTTCAGAAAACTCCACTCTCTATTGGTTGTTTACTCAGAACAAGAAGTTGTCATTGATGCAGTGAACACAGCAGGTACATCAAGCAGAGTTTCCTGAAAACTGAGAGCCTCAAGGGTGTGGCAGTTCTGTTTTGAAAGGCCTAATGCCATTTTCCAAGCTGCAGTAGTCAAATATACTTAAGAACCAACCCCACATTTAACCTTGTAAATGTTTTGCCAAATCCTTGAAAAACAATAGACTATGTCTCTTGAGCATGAGCTTAGTTTAAGGAGTAGACCACCATCATTCTGTTAATCTGCTTCTCAAAGCATGTAAACTTTACACCATCCAGCCATGGAAGCAGGTCCTAGTCTGTAGAAGTAGCAGTGTTCATTCATTTACGTGTGCAAGGATGCAGGATGGTCACTTTGACTGTAGCTGCTAAAAAAGGCTGTGAGTTATGAGCTTTTATTGCTTTGCAGATTCAGTCTGCTGCATCTAACAGGTGTTCTTATTGACATCTCATTTACAGGAACCACCTCCAGCAGTAATACTGTTGTAGCTGGCCAAGATAGTTTTCCTGATGCAGAGGAGAACAGAGTGGTGAAAGAGAATGATGAAAGGTTTGTGGCTTGGATTTTTTCTCTCCAAAATGTATGTGTTTTCCTAGGCTGAGGGTGAGATGTTGGACAAAGTTCTGCATTGTACTGTGAGGAGCTCTGGTGCTCAGATTGATCCTAAGTGGCATTATCTCAGTATGTATAATTTTTTTTTTTAAAAAAGCTATTATCATTATTCTATTTCCTGACTCTTGTTTAATTGTAAAGGAAGTACTGTTAAACCTACATTCAATGAATTGTGCTAAGGACATCATGGTTTTGTAGGAATTATCCACAAAGGTGAAAGAAAAAATTAGGAATGTGCACCAAAAAATGACTACTAATATCTTTACAAAAACTCAGATTTGATTACACCATTTGACTTCATGGACAGTGAGTAAATTTAGTTTGCAGATTTATATCAGTGATTTCAAGGACGGCTCCTTTGTCTAGATGAAATGCTTTGTAGAGGACAGCTATGGAAAATAACTTGCTTATAAATTATATATTCCGTTTAGACTTCTGCTACTTATGGTACATACTGACAAATGACAAATGAATAAGTGCAAAGCCTAAGGGCCATCAGATCCTAGAGCACAGACATACAGATTGTACAGAAACACTCTTAGTTTTGCAAGAAAACTTTGGACAATTTATAATAGCATTTGTCAGTTAGTGTATTAATATTACCTTAGTCACTGATAGCCACTAGTATCACTTCAGTAGTCCAACCCTCCTTTCCTAAGGTTCAGGGCTTAGAGGTGCAGAGATAATTATGTGAGCAAACCTTTCTGTACTTCAAAACTTTTGAATTACTTGCTCTCTCCCTGTTACAAATAAGAGTATTATTTTGTCAGGTTAGTTAGATGTGTATGCTAATTTAAAGGTAAATAGAAAATGGCACTCAATGGCTAAGTTTCAAATTGATAGTAAAACAGATTTGACTCTTAAGTGTTGTTTTTCAACATATGCACTAGGAATGTACTTGAAAGGATAATAAAACCATTTTTCCTCTGATTTTTTTATTATTCTTTACATGAATGCATGAATGTTTATGGCTGCATAGCTTTAAGATAATTTTTTATTTAGTTGATTTACAGCCAAGTTGAGCAAATGTCTCTTACAGTAGTTCAAGTCAGGATTTCTTGTCTTAAATAAGTTTTAAATGTGATTCCAAAAAAGTTTTAAATGTGATTCCAAAAAAGTTTTTAGAGTTCAGATCTGCCAGAGACTTTGTGATAAAAATGAAAGGAAAATTACGAAGTTCTGATACTGGTATTCAGGATCCTGCTGAAAGATACCTCAGAAGAAAATGGAAAATAATTTGCCTGAACTCATTGCTGGCAATTATGTTACTGAAGCCAGCTGTAAGTGCATCTGCACTTCAAAACTAGTGTGTCAATCTTAGAATGTCCATTAATATTGACTTCACGTGCCCCAACATATGAATTAATGAGGGTCATAGATATAATACCATGTATTGGATGGCTCACAATGCATTTTTGTCAACTGCACAGGGAATTTATTGCATGCTTATGGGACATGCGTGCTTTGGAAACAATGTAATATGTTGATGTGTAGTGAAATAACTTGCACTAAGGTGTGTGAACATTAGTAAGAAATTGAATTGAATTTTGTCTAGAAAATCTTCAGTCTTGTCTTGTTTGATCCATGGTTATTTGTAATTAGTTTCCTAGCCCTGCAGGAATGGTGGTGCTTTTAGATCACCACTAGTGTGTGAGCTGTCAGTATGGCTCCTCTCATTCCACTTCAGGCCTGATTACCCTGGGAACACAAGGTGGGGGAAGTCAAAGGAGATCACCAGGAAAAGTCAACTTAGCATGAATCAGTGGCAGATTTGAGGACAGCTGTGAGCAGTTTGCTCTGGCTCTCCTATCCCTAAACTTCTCTATTAGGTCTGCTCTGGCATTTGCTGGATTCTACACTTGAAGGGGGATCTGCTGTAGTTTTTCCTGCTTGGTACCTGTATGAGTTTGGCTTTGGACTTTCCAGTCAGCTACAGAATCACAGTGTTCTGAGCTGGAAGTGACCCACAGGATCATGGAGTCCAGCTCTGAAGTGAATGGCCCATATGGGGATGGAACCCACAACCTTGACATTATTAGCACTGTGCTTTGAGTGCTTTATCAGTTTGGCAGGATTTTATCCATGAACCTGATCTGTGACAAATACTAGCTATGATCAGTTCATATCTCAGTTCATCCTTAGCAATTTCTTCCTTCAAAAAAATCACACATTTGCAGCATGAGGGTTTTCCTTTGCTTAATTTTAAAGGCTTGTGACACAGGAGCACACTGTTAGAACTTCTCAGAAACTGGCTGCAAAAATGTTTTGTGGAAAGAATCAGCATTAGATTCATTTGCTATCTACTCCTGTGTAAAAGTGGATGCTTAAGGAAATGCTTTTTTTTTTTTTTTTTAGGATAAACATAAAGCCCAGATGTTTAATGTCAGTCTGTGTTATTAGTGAAGTTTTTTTTTCTTGTATTTGAAGGTTCAGTAATGTCATCAGAGCACATACCCGTCTAGAATCAAGGTACAGTAATAGCTCTGGAGGATCTTACGATGATGACAAAAGTAAGTTATATTCAATTTGATGAAATTTCTGCTGTTTTGGTTGGAGAGGAAAACATTCTAATGACCAGCAGAGCCTCTCTGTTTATGTTCTGTATAAACAGTAATGTAGCATCATTGTGCAGGGAGCGTCCTTATTTTATCTTCATATCTCATTTAATTAATTTACTTTGTTTAATCTTGGTTTAGTCAAACCCATCTGAAGGCCAGAGAATTTCACAGAAAGCAGCAGCAGAGAATCCTTCAGAAAGTAACACATTGAGCCTTTCATACATGGCAAGGCAAAAGACTTGTAAGAGCATTAGAGCAAGTACTTTGAGTTGTGCCATTTGGCAGTATATCCCTCCAAATCAAGTGCTGCCATATTAGCATGAAAATAGGCAAGTTTCTAAATATGAAGTCTTATCTCCTCATTAGCTTTTATGTGCACTCTGCAACCAGTTTTGGGTTGCACTGTGCAAACGTGTTAGAGAGGAGATGGGGCTCCTGAGCATGCTTCTTGTTCTTTATGTATTTCTGCTAAATGGGCTATAAATGGACACTGATGCTTAGCAGAGATTCCAAAGAAAACCAGTTTACTATTGTACAGTAGTGCAAAACTGAAGAGTTGGATGGTTTGGCTTAATTTCTGGAGTGAATTCAGTTTACAGATTTTGGCTGGGCCCTAGCCAAATGTAAAAAAGGCAAGACCTTGTTATTGACTTTGATCACTGGCTTATTATAGGCAGGTCAAGTACTATATTAGCCATCATGTCTTGGTTTGGCATTGCAGACATCATTTTGGAACTGTATTTTGACATGAAAAGTAAAGATTTTTTTATATTTTTATTCCAAGTAATTTCTGGTGATACTCTTCTGCAAAATATTCAAAGACTGTAAAATACAAAACAGTAGGATAATTTAATGTACACCAACAACTATTATTCATAATTATGAAGCACAGTACTGACAAAATATTGTATATGTACAAACTCCAGTGTTTAAATACATAAGAAAGTGTGAAACATCTAAAACTCAGTGGGGTTTAGTAAACTTGTCTTGAATTTTTTATGGCTTTCTAGTTCTGCAGCTACTTAAAATGCTTCACCAGATGTTAATTGAAGCACTGGTGCTAATCTGATCTGCATGAACAATCTTTCAAGACAGAATTGTGTTTATATTATCAGAACAGCCTTCACAAATACCTGGTTTTGACAAGAGCTTGGAGTGATAACGAGTTAAAAAATACTGACATTTTCTTTTCTCTTTTGGAATGTCTCCTCCAGCCAGTGCCCAAATGTTTTTTCCTGCCTATACCTGCAAGTTTTGTACTACCATGAATATTTATGCAAAGTGTGCTTCTCACAGGGATCTTTTAGCAAGTATGTGAATACCTAGAAGGAAAATAAGATGTATTTTACTTAGCTACTGATATTTATATAGAATTCTAATAAAATAAAGGAATTTTTATATCTCTTGTCATTCTACAAGAAACATAATGCAACTTCCAACTTACTCCCTCAGACAGGCAGCCCAGGCTGCAAAGTATTTTGTGGTATGGCTTCTGCCCTCTCTCCAATCTACTTTAACATTCATGTATTGCTGAGGATATAAATACAGAACACCATTCTGCAGAACACAAACATTTTTGTTCAGGCAAGGATTATATGTTTGCCTTCAAGGTGCTTCTTTCCTTTTTTTTTTCTCAGTCTGCACATAAACCTGTGAAAACAGAAGTGAGGATCTAGGTCTTGGTGTGAACTTCGTGAAGCAGTTTTCTGTGAAACACTTAATTTGGTAGAAATAAGTAGTTCCTGTGCAGTGCTTTTTCTGTGAAAAGCATTTGGCAGACATTATCTGGTTAATTCTGGTTAAGAATATGTGAAAATGCCATACTTTGCTACATTATTAAGTCATTTTATTCTTCTTTATCTGTAACTGATCAATCATGCTCCAGAGAATCTAAGTAGAGGTCTAAATCATAAAGCTATAAAGTGTTCCTTAAAAGACCAACACTTAAAAATGGAAGTTATAAAGCTGTTATTTTTGAAATAATTGGAGAAGCAGGTACTGCACTGAAAGTATCCTGAAGATCTGGAACTCTGAAGATCTTATTCTAAAACTAAGAAGTGATGTACATTAGAAAAATCCAGCTCTGATACTTTTGTAGGCATCAAAATAGTTTTGTTTCCCGTGGGAAAGCTGACAAGCATCAGATACATGCTGTTAAAAAAAAATAAAAGGAAAATGCTGAGTTTTCAAGCTTACCTAAAATACAAAAGCATAACAAAACAAAACCAAAACAAAATAAACAAACAAACAAAAACACAAAAGAAAGAAACATAACAAAAAATAGCACTCATTAAAAATTCATAAAGGGCAATATTTGAATGTATATCAAAAACAGACCAAGAAAGGATACTTTCATGCCAGTGTATCACAGACTGCCAGACCTCAGAAATAAAAACTGAACAGTAGTAAAATTGAGAGGAATGAGAGGGAACAAAATACAGGAGAGATGAATGAAACTGTGCAGCTGAGACAAGACAGAAAGTGGTGGAAATAACTTACTTGACCCACATTATTGCAGATAAACAGGTGGGAGGCAAAACTCTAACACTCATTAACAAACAGCAGCTGTCACACTAAAGCAAAATTAAATACATTTTTGAGAAATGCAAGATATAATTCATCCCTGTTGAAAGAAAATTACCCTGAAGATGTTTTTTACATTCCTTATGCCTCCTTGCTAATTCAGGACATTAAACTTCTGCCTTTGTAGAGTCACTCAGCAGGGCAGTGGTGGGGAGTTGCAAGAATGTGTCACTGGTACTCTGCTCCTTGCAGCAGATGGCTTCTGACAGCAGCTTTGTTGGCTGAACTTTTCCCTCATTTTTGAAGAGAAAGTCTGTTGCTTGGTGCTTTGTGATCTGAATCCAAAACTACTAAGTGACAGCAGGGATTCAGCTGCCACTGCTACCATTCAGTGCTGTCTGCCTGGAATCTCTTTAATTTCCAGCAGCATGAAAGAGGGATTAAAAATGCATCACTTGTTATTGAACACAGGAATTTGCAAACCTCATGGCATTTTATCACATTGTTCCAAACAGCTGAACTCATATGTTAGCATAAAATCTCTTGTAATATTTTGCAAAAATAGGTAATCAGACTTGAGTTTTATGCACTTTTTGGAATGCCTTTCCATGCAGATGATCCTGTTTCTCCATACACAAGCTGGTTATTGAATATTGTTGAAACCAAACAGCCACATCCCCTGCCCATGCCTTACAATGGAGGATGTTGGGCACCACTCGTGGACTATCTCCCAGAAACCATCACACCCCGGGGACCCCTTCATAGGTGAGCAGTTTCTCATTCTGACATTTCAGATTGTGAGATGCTTCCTCTTAGTAGCTGACCAACACCAATCCAACTGTCCCACCATTCAGAACGTGTGAAAATCATATAGTCAATTTCTGATAATTTCCAGTGCAAAAATCAACATGCAGTGAAAGCTCACAATTCTAGCAGATTTCTACCAGAAAGCCTATTTACAATGTAGAACATCACTGATAAGAATAAGACTCATTAAACAACTGAAACAGAAAAGGACAATTTCTTTTTCCCAGGCCTCTGTGCCTGTTATTCACAGTACTTTGATCTTTTATTCTAACTAGGCCATGCATATTCTGAAATTCCTATTTTACATAATTTATATTGACAATATTATGGTTTTTTTCAGTAATGGGTACTTGTTTGCTTGACTGTAAGCAAAGTGCTTCAGCATTAATTATATTGAGAAGAAATGCCACAAATCTTAAAATTTATAGACTGTTTATTTCTTCAGAAATAAGCATCCTTTTTGTGCTTTCCCATTTCCAAGGGCTTTGAAACTGATGCTGTGGTTTAACTTCCAGGTGCAATATTGCTGTTATCTTCATGACTGAGATGGTAGTGGATCACAGTGTGAGAGAAGATTGGGCTCTTCACCTCCCTTTATTGCTACATGCTCTCTTTTTAGGTAAGACCAATGGAACAAGAAAGAAAATATAAATGTACTCCCCCCTTTTACTTTAGTTTTGCTGAAGCTATGGTACTGTGTTTCTGACATGTTTTATGATTTCCTCCCTCCACCCTACAAGAAAAAGCCCAAGGCAGTCGCAGTAAATTAGTCTCAAACTGTAAATTAGTCTCAAAACTATGAAGTTTTTGAATATTTTGGCTGATTTCAGCCAAATTCGAGAGGTGTGTAGAAAATTAAAGATGAATGGCTTCCTAAAATATCTGTATAAAAATGTATGGCATGGGCCCTGCAAGAAAAGGAGGTGAAATTCATGCCTTTGACCAGCTTGGTTGGTGATGACAGTCTGCAATACCTTGGACCTGTACTACACACACCTGTGCTGTCTCTTGCCTTTGCAAAAATAGTCTGTAAGAGAGCCAGGACAGCTGTACTGCACAGGTAGTGGGGGTAGGATACTGACCACTGGAAAGCAAAGCTTCATTAATTTCACTGCTGATGGAGTACTTTATCATCAGTGTGCTCCCTTATGTGCTTGAGCACTGAGGCACTGCTTTTTCCCCACTGCTGTGTCTGTTCCTGACTGTAGCATAGTTCATCTGGAGGCTGTTACCTTCCTTGTCCTGCCATTCAAAATTACCAGAAGTGAGTGGCCTAATGTTATAGCACACAGGGGTATTCAACATTACAAAGCTATTCCCTGATTTCCGTGGTTGATAAATAATAATGTTCACAAATAAACACAGATAGTTGTGAAATAAATTTATTATACCTCAGATCACAGTTCACTTCTCATTCAGTCACCATAGTTACCACTAAGTATTCACAGTCAGTCTGGAAAGATTTGCTGATCAGCAGGCAAAAAGAGATTAAACTGGGATGTTACAGCACAGTGGTAAAATGAAGTATATGTTGAAGAAGGTACTTGTTCTCCTTTACTGCTGCTCTGTTACCAGCTGTTCTGTTTAAATTTTTTTGTGAAATAGGGTTTTGTATATCAGTGCATTGATTTCACAAACTTCTTATGAAATGCAGGACTAACAAACCAGTACTATGTTGAATGTGACTTCCAGAGTCAGTTTCAATATGATATTTCACATATATTTCGCTTTAAATTTAAATTTATTTTGTGGCTGCCCATAACAGCATTCTTATTTTTTTTTGTCTATTTCTGTGGACTTCCTAAGTGTAAGAGGGAGCTGAAAGAGAACTGGGTAATTTTATGGATCAAATCAATAATGATTAACTGATCAAACAACATCTTTACTATGATTTGTAACAAGTGTAAGAAAACTGGTTCTTTCACTTAGAAATTGTCACAAGAATAAATGAAGAACATAAGAGGGAGTAGTACAGAGCAGTGTGTGACCACTGCAGTTACGAAAGCTTTAAAGAGCCATAAGGGAACCATGCAAATAAACATATGCAGAAACAGAGTTATGATACTAGTAATCAGTTAGAAAAATACCTTTAGTTGTTTGTGCAATAAGGTTTCATCATTACAGATTTTTAATAATGAATAAATAGAAATTTATTAATACCATGTAAGACAATCCCTTGGCTAAAAACTATCAATTCTGAAATGTGAAATTAAAATTAGATGTAACTAGTAACTAAATGTAACTGGTTTAGTGGTAACTAAAGTGAGATCACTTTCAGGCTTCAAGGTCAGCTTCTCTAGAGCTGTTATACCTCCTGTGGAAAATTTTTCTATTCTGTAGTAGAGCTCTTGTGATGTTGTAAGGAAGTTATGCCACACATTAGCCAAAGGTATGAATGTAATTAAAAATAAAGTATTGCTGTCCTGTTGGAATGTGAGCGGGCAGATGCCTATGACTGAAAAGCAGACTAGTATGTTGGCTAGCTGGAGAGCTGGTATCCTTTCATTTATTGGAAGGAGTGAGAAAATATTAAAATGAAATAATTATGCAATGTCTGTGTGTTTAATAGGTTGTTGAATGGTTTGTAGTACTGTTGGTGAAGCAGGGAGGCAGACTGCTGGTTTGAACTTGCCTATCTCTGGTGCATGAAAATCACTGCTCTTTTTCAACCGGTGTGGAATTAGTTGAACACTAGACTCCTTTCCAATGGAAATGTGTCCATGTCACAGGAGCTTACCCGCCTTGGAAATCTTTCAGGCTAAAGAAGGGACCAGCACTGGACATGCACCAAGACTGAACTGTCCTTCTCACTTCCTAGGTGGCAGATCTGTGCCAATACTTTTATACAACTTGGGGTTTAGTAGGATTTCAGCTACCACTGTTGCCAATGTAGAATTTATTTTCAACTAAAAGACCTTTTTATATCCTTTGAAATGTATGTTGAAAGCAGGTAGGATGAGTTCATTATCTCCTGGCAGGTGGAAGTAGATGGAGAAAGGTGAATAGGAGCAGAAACCTTTGGAGTCTGAAATAGAAGTGGGCAGAATGGCCACAGTTCTTTTGGAGGAGGTTACTGGGAGATGAGTAAGGGTCATGGGACCTTCAAAGAATTGCTTTTAGGAGCCAAGGGCATAGTGTTCAGATGATGGCAGTATGAGCAGCTTCGTTATTGCAGGCCAAACAAGAACCAGCATGACTAGAGTATATTAGAAAACACCTGACTTGAAAGATATGTTGGCTGCTGCCACACAGTGTTATGAAGAAGCTGCTTTTTTGAAAAGGTATACAAGAAAAGAATTAACTTTTTCAACACTGAAACTACTCTCAAACAGAAGAAAGTATGTTTCAATATACTGTGGGGTACTGAAAGAGAATCAAAATGAGATTACTAAAACAGAGTGCAGAAATATCTGTTTCCTTTGTATTTGTAATTTGTGAACTATTCTGGCTGTTTTAAAATCTTACAGATGGCAGTAGTGTAAACCAAATCAGAGTCTTGCAGTGTTAGACCTTCAGTTTGAGTTAGAGGCTAATGTCTCATGCTGCTCACGGGTAGCTAAAGCTCTTTTTTAAGTGATTTGTCTATCAGTTTCTTTTTTAATTAATCAGTACCTGCCTCTTACAGTTTGCACTCATTCTAAAACTGATGTCTGTGTTAGAAAGCCAGATACTGTGGTAAGCAATGTAATTACAACCACCATCAAGAATACCTCATCTTTAAAGGTTTTCCAGGCTTGTCATATTAACTGCAGTGAGACAATGCATAAAGCTGTATTGCCACTCATTCATTGTACCTCATGTGTGGGACTTCAGTATGGAAACTAAATATACACATATATTTAAGTGAGAGCACTGGTAACTATGTCTGGAAATGCTACATCTTTTGTTTGTTTGTACTGTTATCATGAACTGCCTTGGAATTTTTGCTATTTCTGGAATGTGAACTTGTTTATTATTACTTCATATTCAGAGATTGCTGTAACCTTTTCTTTTTAGGCCTTGACCATTACCGCCCAGAGGTCTTTGAACACAGTAAAAAGTTACTGCTTCACCTTTTGATTGCATTATCTTGCAATAACAACTATCAAGCCATTGCATCTGTGCTTCTTCAGACCAGAGAGATGAATGAGACCAAGACTCTGACAGTACAACCAGCATACTTACCTGAATATCTTTACACAGGTAATGAAGCAAAAGAAGAGCACTGTATCATACTGTCAGGTCTTGATAAGTCAAAGTAATAAAGTGTCAAATAGGAACAGTTCCCATTAATATTAATTCTGTGTGAACTACCCTAGGGATGCATGTAATTTATTATTAGGCAACTTTTCATGATATTGAGAAAGTTACCTAATGTAAGGCAAAAAATATGTAATGTAACATTTTAAAATTAATAGGGCTAGTGACTTCCTGATTTCCCCCTTAGGGATCCAGAGCTACTTTAAATGAGGACAATCATTCCTCTCCCTTAAAATAAATTAATAAATAATTCCAGCACAGGAAGAGCAGCAAGAATGTGCAGCTCAGATTTTCCATTATTAAATTAAGTTTCACATGATACACGCCCTCCTTTATATCACTGACACATTGCATTTCTGTCTCAAAATCTCTTTCTACATTAGCAATCTTACTTCAGACCTCTGATGAGGTCAGTGTTCTATGACTTTTAGCAATTTACCTGTATTTAAGGAGCTGGTTAGAATCAATTTGTAGAAAGCTGCTAGCTAGATTTACTGTAGTCGTATAATATTACTAAAAGCAAGTGTACTGTTCAGTTTTGAAGGAATCACAAAACCAATATAGAGTTGTGGGTGTAGGATTAGTTATTGGTAAAAGGGTGAGGAACTTTATCATTCAGTGAAAAGTAAAGGTTCTCAAATCAGTACCATTTCCATTGTTCTTTAGGAAGTAACAAGTAATTAGGCTTTATGAAAAATATTACATGGTAACTTATTACTATTTTTTCTGAGACATTACAAAATTATTTTAAAGTAATGAGCAGAAGGGATAGGTATTTTAGAGTGATTAAATTTTAGAAAAATTTAAAATTCTTTAGTATTTTGGCCAAAGAAATTTCATTCTGAATAACTTCTGCAAAAAATTATTTCACATTCATTTCCTGTCTGGAGTTGGCTGGATTTCTTTCCTAATGCATATCTATGAATTATTAAATACAGAATAAAATTCTTTCATTAAAATTATATTACTGCTTTTCTGTTAAAATGAAAAACTGTTTTCATTCTTGCATCTAAAAAATGTAATTGTTAACCTGATTCTGGCCCTCTGGAGTTCAAGAAGTTATCAAGACTTGGTATTTTGGACTGGTTTTTGAGAAGCTAATATAAAGAGTGAGAGTGTGGGTGAGTAGCTATAGCACAGAATCCTAACTGAAAATGCTTCAGCTCAGGTTTGTTCCATGTAATGTCAGGCAACTAAGTAAGGAGTCTTCTGATTTGCAATGGATTTTGTCCTGCTCCCATTTTTCTCACAAGGCCATTTTTTTGTGTAGATACAGCCTAAACATGACTAGAAATCTAAACTTAAGAAAATAGGTCTTGATTTCTAATCTGAGCTCTGAAACTGTGGCAAGGTTTTGATCTAGCAGAACACTTACTCAGGTGTTTCATCCTAATGCTGAAAATATTTTGTATGACTAGTCCAGTGGGTGCAGTTACTAAAGGTGTTCAAAGAAGCCACATTTGTGTTTTGATTTCAATTACATTTGTAAAATTGGGACAGCATAATCATTCTAAAAATTCCACCCAGCAGTTTTTTTCCATATCAGACTAGCCCAGAGAAGTGAACTTTGCATGCACTTTGCCAACTTCTTAATTCATTTTAAAAAGTCCTACTTCTGAATGTAAAATGCCATAGAATATTTGTTTTCCAAGTACTGTTGTCCTTGTGCAGTAAAAAAAAAGAAATCTTGACTTGGATAGTTTTCATTTTATTCTGGATTCTACACATCTAGAAACAAAGTACCATTTTCACTCCTATCAGTATTTGAAGGTTGTGTTCTGCAGGTTTTCCCTGTATTTCCCAGTGGAAGGTTTCTGCTGCTGACTCTGAAAAGAGCTGCTTGGCAGACACTTTCATCTGCAAAGCTGCCCAACAGTGCATTCCATCTTTATCTCCTCCCTTTTGGCTGGCAGGTGGCTTTGACTTTCTGCGGGAGTACCAGTCATCCCCAGTGCCAGACTCCGGCTTGAGCTCCAGCTCCACCTCCTCCAGTATCAGCCTGGGAGGCAGCAGTGGAAATCTCCCACAGATTACACAGGAAGTTGAAGACGTGGACGCTGCTGCTGAATCAGATGAGAAGGCAAACAAATTAATTGAGTTTTTGACAACCAGGTAATGTAGAAAAGCAGAGGATACGTTTGTACTCAAAATGCACTCTTTCATGAAGCAACTTAAAGGAAAATGACTGAGCTCTAATAGTAATTGCAGACCCCATTCCTCTTTTATTGATACTTACACTAGTAGGTAGGTAGTGAAAAGCACTACAGTGTCAGAAAAAAACAGAAAATAAATCTTGCCTGACAGAAATAAAATGTTTAATTGACTGATAGTTTTGTGTTCAGAAATGAACTAAATAGAAGAGGCCAGTTTCATTATTATATAATAAGATATAAAGTGTACAGTGCATAGTGAAAGGCCATAGTGGAACTAATATTAACTACCAGCTGTAGCCAGCAGATTCTAGGCACAATGTTAAATTGAAAAACAGGGATTTGTTTATGCTGCTGTCTACATAGCATAGGTTATATTTTAAAATACAGCATAGGAATATTTATCTACTTTTATTTAAAATTCTGTTCAGTTGCATGACCTGATTTACCAGGTCATGGCCCTGTAAATATCTAAGTACCTGTACAAATTATATATTTTAACTGATAACATTTATTTCAGATTACTCAAAGAAATTTTGCATTTTGTTATGTATTTCTTTAAGGGCATTTGGTCCACTATGGTGCCATGAAGATATCACTCCCAAAAACCAGAATACCAAGAGTGCTGAACAGCTCACTAATTTTCTGCGCCATGTTGTATCTGTATTTAAAGATTCCAAATCAGGTAGTAAATATTTCCCTTTCATAATTAAAAAAATATTCGCTCACAGTCATACTTAATGTTTATCCTGTGACTTAGTATATCTGCTTATGCAGAAGCACAATAAATATGTCTTAACAAGGATGTATGACATATGAAAGAATTGCTTTAAAACAGTCATGTTAGATTAAACTGCCTAAATGTTGAATTGAATATTTCTTCAAAGCTGTTGGTGGAAAGCCTTTTGATTGATTTTGCCAGATAAAATCTCCTCTGTGTCCTGTTAGTTAAATACATCAAAGCTTACTAAGTAAATATACTTTGTTAAATTTCTTCTGGCAATAAAAGTTTATTTTTTATTTATTATGTTTTTTAGAACATAGGGAATGTGCTGATTGCATTTTGAAAACCAGCACAGTCACTAATTAAATAATTTCCAAGATCAAAGCAGAGTGCAGCATCAGTATTTAGATTAAAGATCTTATCCAAAGCCTTCTGAAGCTAACAGAAAGACTCCTAATTCAATTTTACTTCAGGTTTGGGGGTTTTCAGAAGTAACTGTTGCTGCCAGCAAGAATAGTGATTGGCTTGAAAGTTTGTCCAGGAATTGTAAAAAAAAAATAAGTCAGATTATCAATTTCATACTTAAAATTTTGTTTTTCAGTTAATTCAGTTAATTTTCTTTCATTCTGTGCAAAATAAATTTAAATTCTCCAAAGCACAGACGTTTCCGCACCTCAATTTCTCAGTATTTGCAGCGTACACTAACGAGCATATTCTTCTCACAGAGTAAGTTCAGCCTGTTTATGACTCACAGTAAAGTCTGTAGTAAAACAGGGGAAAAAAACTGACATCCAATTCTTTTGCTTAGGTTTTCATTTGGAGCAGCATCTGAGTGAAGTTGCTTTACAAACAGCTCTTTCAAGCTCTTCCAGACATTACGCTGGTCGCTCTTTCCAGATATTCAGGGCCCTAAAGCAGCCCCTTTCTGCACATGCATTGTCTGACCTCCTGTCAAGATTGGTGGAAGTTATTGGAGAGCATGGAGATGAGATTCAGGTATGTATGTGTAAATAATGCTTCTTAGAACTTGATTCAATGCATACTTAATTTAAAATTACCATTTTTACAAGGTGATCTGGAGTCATGTGATGAAGAGTAGAATGTGGCCTCAGAAAAGGTTACTTCTGAGTTTGCTGAAATCATATGTACCTTAGCTAAGTCTTCATCAGGCTGTTGCAATCTTACATAGCCCTAAAGAGAACAACTAGAAAATTTTAGTAATTGTCACTCATAGTGAAATATTTGTTGTGACCAGTTTTTTCCTTTTCAACTTCATTAGTTTAGGTTTAAGGAATCCATCATCTGTCTGGTGATGTAATCTCATAACATGGAGTAGACACTGTCTCATTCCTCAGAAGTTAACGTGCTTAGGAGTAAAGAAATCTGCACCATCCATAATAATACAAAGCTTACACTGACTTAATTTGATGCAGACCTTTCACAGCGCTATGATGTTCACTCTGTTTAAACTAAATAGACTGAAATTTTACAATCAGAGACTATTTATAGCAAAATTCAAGACTTAATAAAGAGAAATACTGGCTTTCAGTGAGAAATAGACTGACATCACCTCCATATTTTATTTAGGTAATGAAACTGCCACAAGATGACAGTAATACTCTGTCACAATTGCTTGTGTAGAATTTAAATCAGTGACCTGCAAGTCAGAGGTTCAGTGTGTCATTACCAATCCTTTGATATGTGCCGTTCTTGCATACCTTCACAGATCATTTAGAGGCAGAAAATAAAACATACTTGTAGTGACATTTTAATGTTCAGGGCAGTGGCTTTGATATGAATGTTGGAGCTTCTTTTCAGGAGAAATTATAGGTTTTCAGTAGGTGCCTGCTCCTTTTATGAACTGAAGATTTTTAAATGTTACTTTTTGAATGTCTGGTTAAAATGCTTAACCTCCTGCATTGGTAGGGATATGTAATGGAGGCACTACTTACTTTGGAAGCTGCAGTGGATAATCTCTCTGACTGTTTGAAGAACAGTGATCTTTTGACGGTGTTATCACGGTAAGAATCTGTTCTCCTAACTATATTTTTTTCAATGTTTCATGACATTAAGTGTGCAGTTCTGCAGTCTAACAGCAAAAAAATAATTTTGATAAGACTAACCTCATTTGTAACCTTCCGAGAACCAGACTGTGAGCACATTTCAGCCAAATTTTGCCATAGTTGAAATAATGTTGACAGAACTAATAAAACTTTATAATATGCTGTAAATTCTACCTTGCTGCCTCTTGGCTATAACCTAATATCCTTTAAAAATACTGTATTTTTGCACCTTTGTGTCATAAACCTGAAAATGTATCTGGGAAGGAACATGGGTTCTGTAGTACTGGTTTCATACAGGGTGTCATTCTCTGGTCAGGTATTCCCCAGGAATAAATGATCATGGTTTCTTCTCAATAAAATTAGGGAAATTTTTTTTCCCACGTAGACGTGGATTTTGCTTGATGTGTTGACTTTCTTTATGGAACCCTTGGCCTGAAAGTAGACCTTTGTACATGGAAGTCACAGGCTCCCTCTGTAGTGTGGCTGTTGATGGTACTGAGGGAGATGAATGTCAATCTGATTCCTAATAGTAACAACAGAATAGGTAAATATTTTTTTTTAATATCCATAAGTTATCATGCTTTATGTGCAGCACAAAGCTGTCATTTCTGAAGCTAGCAGGCAGGGTGCTGTGCCATGGCAGGACCCAAGGAGTGCCTGGGACAGAGTAGAGAGGGGTAAATACACTTCTGTTTTCTAAACTAAGAGCTGTTTATGTTTCTTGAGTGTACATTTCAGCAAATAGCAAGATGGAACAAAGAGTAGGAAACACTCCAGAAAGCAGTGGGATGCTTTCTGACACTTGATTCCAGAATAAGATTTTCTTCAAGTACTATAGACAGTAGAGACTCATAGTGTATGAGTTAGAAATGGGATCAGAGTCAGGAATTAGCTTTTCTCCAGAACAAACTTTCCCTTGCATGTATCAGCACAACACATTCCTCTGTGCAGATAACTGATAGGTATTGTCTGGATTATCACGTGGTAGTCCATGAGGAGGCATTAGTCATTGAAATTGAAACACCTACACTTTCTGTAAACCATCTTGAAGAGATCTGAGGATACAGGCAGGATAGTATGCAGTGACAACAAATTTTCAGAAGCACCTGTATTGGCAAGAGCTTGGGCAACCACATGACAGGTTTCTTGAGAATAACGGGGTGTATTCATAGTTCTGCTTAAGACATGCTGGTTTTTCTGCCCACAGTTCTCACATTACCCAGCAAGCAATTGTGCATTTGCCTGCCAGCTGTACCAAATTCGGGGCTTGCTCCATTAATGAGGGCATTCTAAAACCAAAATTATTTTCAGTTCTGCCACTGTCCCATTGGGAATGGCCGTAAGTCACTTCACAGCTCTGTATTTCTTATCCCCATGTCATTCTTCCCATGTAGACTATAGGCTGTCCTGCTCTGGTTTGGTGCAGTGCCATGTGAATCTCATCTCTGTCAGGTCTGTGGGCCTGTCTGTCTTCTTGAAAAAAGAAGGCAGGCTGCAATAGATGGTTTGGTGTTCTATTTCTTCTATGTAAATATTTATTTACAGTCTGAAAAGTACCTAGCTTGCATCTAATATGTACCCTTTCAAGCTGTGCATTCACATCACACAATGTAATGGATGTTTTAAATCTTGGTTTCAGTTCATCTTCACCAGATTTAACATCAAATACCAAACTGACTGCAAACCGGAAGAGCACAGGGCAGCTGAATATGAATCCTGCAGGTGGCAACACAGCTACTGCTGAGCGAAGTAGACACCAGAGGAGCTTCTCTGTACCCAAAAAGTTTGGAGATGTGGACAGGTCCTCGGACCCACCACGCAGTGCCACCCTAGACAGAATTCAAGCATGCACCCAGCAAGGCCTGTCCTCTAAAACCAGAAGTTCATCCTCTCTAAAGGACAGTCTCACCGATCCATCCCATATTAACAATCCAACCAACCTGCTGGCCACCATCTTCTGGGTTGCTGTGGCTTTGATGGAATCAGACTTTGAGTTCGAGTACCTAATGGCACTGCGGTTGCTGAATAAACTTCTGGCTCATTTGCCACTAGATAAAGCTGAAAACCGGGAGAAATTAGAGAAGCTGCAAGGGCAGCTAAAATGGGCAGACTTCTCAGGACTTCAGCAGCTACTCCTGAAAGGATTCACTTCCCTTACTACCACTGACCTCACACTCCAGCTCTTTAGTTTGCTGACACCAGTGTCTCGAATATCCATGGTGGATTCCTCTCAAGCTATAGGTAAAACCATTATGCTTTCCTGTCTCTCAGTTTCTGTTGCATTGACATTTGGTGACAGACCTCATTCAGCTATCTGAACAAAACCAAAAATAGCAGTTTTTCTTTCTCTTGGAATATAGCATAATTTCCTTTTGCTTTGAGCTGAGTGAGCTTTTTTTGAAATTTCATAGAAATAATGATATGTTTCTAGAAAGTGAATCCAATACACAATAAGGTTATGGAGGAGAAAAATCATATAATATTTAGCATTTAATTTCTAGGTCTTTAGCATCATATAAAGTTTATGATTGGTGACAAAGTAAACATGTAAGGAGATACTGTCAAAAATTCCATTAACTACTTTGGTTAGTTTTTCTGTTCAATTATTTTCAGACTATGTCAAACTGCTTGATTTTAAATTCGTGTTTTCTGGTATTTTCACGAAAAAATATAAATATCAAAAACCCTTGTACATTCTAGATAAACTACAATAGCACAATAGTGAGTGAGGAGAGAGGCCTAGGTTATAGGGAAATAAGATAGCATTTTAAAAATCCCCATTATTTATCTGAGGTTGTGGCTTCTTCTTAATTATATTTCTTGAGGAGAATTTCTGCATTGTTCTAGATTTTTACTCCTCTCTTTTGGTCAGAAACACAGATACTAAGACAAATGTCGAGGTTTTACAACTTAGTCATAACAAGCCTAGACAGAGTAAAGGAATGAATGCCATGAACAGCCTGCCCATCTCTAAGCACCTGTGTGGTACCTGTGTTCCAGGCTTTGGTTGGGCAATTCACACATTGAATTACTATGACAGTACTATCTGAAGGTATCTTTCATTTTCCCTGAATACAAAGGAAGAGTAGGCAAACCATGATCCTAATTTCAGCAACTTGTTTATTTGTGTAGAAGGAGAGGGAATGAACCATTAGAAAATTATTTTCATAGAAAAAATCCTTTTTTTTTTCAAAAACCAGATTGTGTCCAGATACAATTAGTTGACTTCTGAGCTCCCACCTGAATTAGAGCAGCTTTTGTTATAGCTCTCTGTTACAGCTGCTGCAGGTATTTCATCAACCACTTTGAGCTATGAGTTGGTGCAGAAGATCTGAATCCCAGTTCCAGACAGCACTTGAGCTAATTACAGCACCTGGAACCTGGTGCATTATTATTATCTTGAACAATGTAAAACAGTGGAAGCTGTGCCTGGCAGCTGACCAGAACAGTTGTTTATTAATCAATACTCACTGAATTTCTTTTTGTGTTTTAGCAGCTGTAGTGAAAATGCCACTGGTTAAGACTGTCAATAAGCCAGTTAAGTGGAAAAGATAAAAATTATCTCTAGTATAAATGTGCAGTAGTGCTTGCAGAAATAGGCTCACGCTTTATAAGAGTATTGTTGCCTAAATGACATACTGGATTTTCAAATTAAGGCCCCTTTATGACAAGTGTGGTATGGCCAGTGGTACGACCAGCTTGACGGGGTCTGTGTGAGTTTATGGCTAATGTAATATTGAAACTGTGACCTCCTATGAAACACCAATTTAAAGATCACTGCGGCTCTTGCTGTCCAGAATATATCTTTTGTTCTGTATTTTCTTGTTCTAGGATTTCCACTGAATGTTTTGTGTCTCCTGCCTCATTTAATTCAGCATTTTGACAGCCCAAACCAGTTTTGTAAAGATATAGCCGAAAGGATTGCTCAGGTATCAAAATAATTTGCTGGTTTGTACATCCTCAAACCCTGTAAATGCAGTTGCCTTGTTCTTGATATATTTTGATGTCTATATTTAATTAGGTTTGTTTGGAGGAGAAGAATCCCAAGCTATCAAACCTTGCACATGTCATGACCCTTTATAAAACACACAGCTATACAAGGGACTGTGCTACCTGGGTAAATGTGGTTTGCCGTTACCTTCATGAAGCATTTGCTGATATTACTTTGAGTATGGTTACATATCTGGCTGAGGTAAGTTTTCAAAAACTTTTCACTGTTCTAACTCTTCTGTTGCCCAGCTGCCCAAAGAGATTAAGTGTGCCAGCAACTTACTGGGAGCTCTGCATCTGTTATTTATAACTAAAAAATACAAGCAGAATTTGGCAGAAAATAGCATTACTTCAAAAAAAAACAATATTTAACACTAAAACAAAAGCTGATACAACTTAAAGCAGATTCCTTCATCAGCCAGTTGGATTTTCCACTGTGAAGGTGAGAGGAAAATTTATTTAGATCCCATTGAGGGAAATCAGAAGACTAACTCCACAATGGGTTTTCCAGCATAATAAGGTACCATCTGCTATATAAGGATCTTGTTCTTGATACAAATTTGTATGCATTCCTCTAATAGTGAATGGGATCATCTTGCTGCAAAGGTTTTCTCATGTTCATTGCTTACTCCTTACATTTTTCACCTGTGGAGTATAGTGCTGATGCAGTGCTGTTTCTGGGGCTCCAAGGTTCTGCTCTTTAACACAAGGCTGCTTGATATTGCCGCCCCCATTGTCAGATCACTTTCAGGACAACATCTTACTATGGGGTTCTCAAATCTGTGCCTTCCCTGCTGAGTTGCCTTCAGTCTCCCCTCTTGTCCAGGGAGAGGACAGTTCTGTATTCACAGAATCATTTTTAGGCTGGAAAAGACCTTTGAGATCATCGAGTCTAACCCCAAATCTAACACAAGGCCACCACTAAACCATTTTCCTCCCTGCCAAATGTACACATCTTTTAAATATCTCCAGGAATGGTGAGTCCACCCTTTTCCTGGGCAGCCTGTTCCAATGCTGGGAAACTGTTTTTCTAAATCTAAACCTTCCCTGGCATGACTTGAGACCATTTCCTCTTATACTATCAACTGGTACTCTGGAGAAGAGGTTGACACTCACCTCTCTACATAAATTAACTAGCATCTGCCGAAGGATTTATTAAAAACCCTCAGGCATCTCTGATACTGGCTATTCACAAATTTGCAGGAGCCTGAAAAGCCAGGTGCTGCTCCCACACTCACTTAAGGCTTCAGAGCAAACATAGGCCCTGCTATGTCAAGCTGCTTCCTCATCTTGCTTGCTCATGGAGTCTCTGAGTAAACAATCATATGATCTTTAGTGATGGTGAAAGCCATTGAAGGTTGCTGTAGGAACCTTAAACAGGACTTGAGGTTCTTCAGTCTCTTTTCAGGTCCAAATACTCCTAAGAGCTATTAGCTCTTCAAATGAAGAGCTCTTTTTGACATTGAACCCTCCAGAGTCAAGTGTCTTCTTCACAGTGGAAGCTTGTATTCCTAATTTAAAAATTACATTAAAACTATACTTGTAATAAAGAAATCCTTTAAAAACATAAGTTTTCAAATTCTTTCTCCTTTGGTTTCCCAGCCTTAGGAAAGTGGTTGCCCTTCTGATTTCCTTTCAGTGCTCTCTGTACAGTCACTAGTGCTGCACCACCTCCACAAAGGCCATTGCTCCTCATCCTGCTCCCCTTGAAATGGGTTGAGACGTTCATGTGGAGACTCTTCTCTGCATGGCTCCCCCTTGCTGTAGAGTGCCACCACTGACTGTATCAACAGCAAGCCAGGCAGGTTTTATACTGTAATTAAAACACATTCCTTGCATAGCACCACCAGCAGCAGGATGAGAGAGCTGTAAGCACTGACTTCCTTTCTCTGTATTTACATTGAGTACAGCTCTGTTGAGTCATGTCTGGAGAATATTTATATGGGCACAGAGTAGCTGTCAGTCTGGTAGTATAGCAAAAGACAAGCCATAAACAAGCCAGCATCAGCCTGCTGTAGCCTTGAGTATTTTTTTCCCAGCTTTCAGAATGTTTCTTCTTTTCTTCCTAGTTAATCCCCAGGCCAGGATAAACAATGTGCCCCTGTCTCCTATAAACCAGCTGTGGGGTATACTGTCAATTGGTAAAGCCAAATAGGTTAACAGCCCCACTGGGCAACCTGCACTTGAATGTTAAAGCCATACACAACCTTGAGCTTTAACAATCTTAGTTCTGTCCCCAGCACTTGGGACAGAGGGAAATTGTGAGACAGGCAGTGCTTAAGAATACCAAAGGAAATTGCATTGCAACAGTGACCCTTCCAAATACAGGTGTAGCTTCAGAAGGCGACACTGTACCACAAATTAAGACAATGAAAAGAAATGCTCTCAGCACAAAGTAGAAGTTTCAATTATTGACATTCAGATAAAATTTTGTATTTGACCTATTCAATGGCAAGTCATTGCTTGTCATCAAGGAGTATGATCTCAGTAGAAAAGAAAATATTTGAGCTCTATTATTACCCACATCTCAGAGTGACAAGTAGTGCTCCTTACTTAGTTTTACATATTTTCCATTCATGAAAAATCATAATTTCTTCTAGAAAACTACTGGGATGTCTCAGTCTACAGATGAGGAAAAATTGCTATTCAGTAGTGCAATAGAACTCTCAACCTCACAACCAAAATCAGATCAGCATACAAACATGTCACTGAAATCTTACTTTGGTTTTTTGCTAGATTTTTGCTGATTAATTTTTGAAATTTAAACTTTAATCATGGCAGCACACTTATTCTAGGATTATATCTGAATTGGCATGGGTCATGTTAAACTGGTGATTCATTAAGTCCATGTTAAAACTTAAGTAGCTAATGCTATTAATAGAGAAGAAAGGACAAGAATCCATAGTGCATAGTAATATGTTTATGGTAGATTCTTCCACCTCCTCCTTGTTAGATGGTGATAAAAACATTAGCATTTATTACCCGTTCAAAGAATAGGTAGAAACAAAACCATCTGTCTTGCAAGGGGAAGCATGCCCTAGGTAAGGCATTAATCAAGTAATGGCTTATCTCGCAGGCATGGCTTTTTAAACGCCCTCTTTATTTCCTCAAAACATTTGTTTGACTACATGGCCTTGCCTCAGAGCTGGGTATCTCTTCATACCTCCTGCCAGACTGGGAGGGGCAAAGGGAACTGTCCCCTGGGGTAGCACCCCAGCAGCTGAGGCAGCCCTTGAAGGAGAAGGCTCTCTTCTCCCCTTCGTTCTGGGGTAGTTGTTGCTTCCGGAGGAGGACAAATGTTGCTAAAGCCATGTGGATTCCTGAGCCCAGATAAGACCCCAATAGTTACCACACAAAACAAGAGGGGAATCCACAACTCTTCAGACCATGTCATACATACAAGAGTGCAAAAAAAGAAAAATTCCGAGAACAGTTGTATTTCTTTCTATAAATACCATGGAAACTCTTTGTCCTGAAATTCTCTTATCCAAATGATTTGTTACCACAACTCCACCTCACTGCTATTTTTTTACTTACAGCAGCAACAGAATTCATATTGCACTAAAGGCATGTTAAGGATGCTATTTTTAAAATCAGAAATACTCTTTGTTACTGCAAATTAATTATGTATTTAAGGACTTGCTTGGACTACCAACCACCACATATATTCATCTGAGCAAGTGAAAACTGACACAGTCCACAAATATGTCAGGTTTAAGGGCCAAGAGCTGTTTCAGTCAACAAATAACTTTTGACAACAAATGACAAACTTTTGAATATAATGTTCCTCTAATAGCATTTGACGCAAAATTCCCATTATTTCCCAAGAATTCCTTTTCCTATCCCAAAAGGGATTTTCTGATGCAGTAGCCTCTGTCAGAGAACAAAAAAATTTCTTTCTGTCATCCAGATACTTTCTTCTAATCCTGCAGTGAAATGGCTGATGTGCTGCATCACATAAACTATTTGCAAACAAGGAATCAAACTTTCTATTGCAAGATCCTAATAGAGGGCAAAAAAAGCCCTTGGTAACCCTGTTTTGAAGAAAAATTGCTAAGCACATTTTCAATAAAGGTATTTGAGGGGCTGACAGTGTCTAAGGGCTGAAGCAAGTTGCCAAACCTTTAATTTAAAAATTCTTCCTGTCTATTTGTAGAGGAATAGATAACTATAATGAGTTTCCTTTATTGTGCTGTTAATGGAATTTGTTTTATGAATCACTTTGTTTTATGAATCACTAATTGCTACTCACTTTTCTGATGAAAGAAATCAGAAGATATTTAGTGGAATAAAATAGATTCCACTTGCACTGGCATGAAACATTCTCATACAATAAAAGGTATACCTTATCCTTCTATATCCCTAGAAGAATATCTAAAAAATTACTAAAGTCCACTTGGATAAGAATTGAAATTTTTCCCTGATGGAAGGCAGGAGGTAGCTTAGGGATTTTATAAGAAATTTTTTTTCTAGACTCCAATAATGCTAATAGCCAGTGTTAGAACTTTTTTGTCAGCCTGAATTGGGAGGATGGTGTCTAGTATTGAGGCTCTGATAACCTCCAGCGAAAACATTTGATTGCCTCTGGAATTTGTGGGGTGGGACAATATTCTTTCACCAGTGAAGAACATGCTGCTTGCCAGGAAATTCTCAGCTGAGATATTTCACACATATACAAACAAATCATGGCTATCTGTATGCCTCTGGAATTACTATCACACATATATTTATGAGCATTTCCACGGTTCATTCTAGTATTCCAGGACCTACACTCAGGGGACTGAAAATTCTAGGATTTAGATCAAGTCCTTCTCTGTATTACTCTGCAGTAATAGGGGCCAGGGACTCCACCTCCTCCTACACAGAAAATGTTTCTTTGGCACTTACAGCCAGTGAGCACTGGCAGTGAAATATATTTATAAATATTTATTGATGGCTGAATAGCAGTAGTTTTGTTTCTTCAGCAAGTTTTCTTTTTTCTCACTGACTTCCAGCAAATGGAGACATAAAAAGATCCTCCCCTGTTTTTATTTGATGTGGTTACCCAATTACAGTGTAAATTTTACCTACCAGTTTACTCAACTGCTGAATGTGTTTTCTGGATAAGTTAGGGCAGGCATATATAAAATATAACTGGCTGGCATTTGGCTCCTAACTTAAGCTTTTTTGCTTCATGCCTGTATCACCATCAGTTGTGAAATTATTGTAAAATGGCATTGCAAAATCAATGAGTAAAGAGAGATGAAAAGTATAATTGCTGTTTGTGAAACTAGTAGCTTTTTATTTAAGAAGAAATGTCTCAAAATTTTGTTATATTCACTTTTCTTTTAAAAGCTACTAGAAAAGGGCCTTCCTAGTATGCAACAGTCCCTCTTACAGATGATCTACAGTCTTCTTAGTTATGTGGACCTATCGGCTATTCCTGTGAAGCAGTTTAACATGGAAGTGCTAAAAACTATTGAAAAATATGTACAGGTAAATACCATATCATTTTTATATTACTATAGGAACTTAGCAGCATTTACTATCCTAAGTTGATTTTCTGTGTAGGAATTTAAGACTAGATTAGCAGGGGGTCTGCAAGTATCTAGTGTGGTACAAAGTTTGTAAACATCCTGGTGTCGTGTAGCCTGTGCATCCCCAGAGAAGATGCCTGGCTGTGTTTTCACTGTGGGGGAAGGTTGGGCTTCAGCCTCAGAGTACCTTGGAGCAACCTTAATACCACTCAGAGCCTGAGTAACCATTCCTTAATTATTAGCACAAGGGAGATGTGGCATAAGCATTTCTCTTCAGAGAGTTCTGTACCTAATTCTTGACAAGTGAAAAATACATGGGAGTACTAGGAATTCATAGAGGTAAAAACCTGCATCAAGTCACCTTTTTATTAAATGGGGATTCTGCTATGGCCCTTATATTTATTCATACTGATTAAGACATTCAGGTAGGAGATTTTAAATCCAGGTTGGCTTTATCCACAGGTCTGCCAGCTTGTTGGGCAGTTCCCTAACAGTGACACCTTAGGCAAGTCTTGGTCTCTGATGTTGAAGTTATTCTGCAATTACACACCTTGTCACTTGCCAAGAGAGACAAAGAATACATATAGTCCAATTCTACATTTTAATTATGTGGTAAAAATACGACTGTAAAATATAAATAATGTTGAATGTTTGTGAATCTCATTTTCTGTTTGCTGAGTAAATACATTATTTCTAGAGCATTCACTGGAGAGAAGCCTTGAATATCCTGAAATTGGTAGTTTCTCGTTCTGCCAGTTTAGTTCTACCTTCCTATCAACATAGTGATCTTTCAAAAATGGAAATACATAGAGTGTGGAACAGTGCCTCCAAGGAGCTACCAGGGAAGACTTTGGAGTTTCATTTTGATATTTCAGAGGTATTTTTTATAGTTTTTTTCTTAACACCTTAATTCTGACTTCTCACTGGACTCTCTTACAACAGTCTTTATCCTGCAAACCCTTGTAACTACAGAACTGAATGGCCCTAGTGACTTTAATGGGTCTTAGTAACTTTATTGTTCAGAAGCTGAAGAATTGTTTGCAGGATTATAGATTATTTCATATAGATAATAGTGGGCTGTTGAGGTTAAAAGGAAATACAAGCATAAAAATGCATATGGTATTATTTGCTTTCCTGTCAGCATAATTCTGAAAAATGCTGAGCATCTTACTGTTAATCCAAGAAAGCATTTCAATACCTGTTGGAAAAAGGCCAAAGTGTTCAGCACTCTTAGGAAAAAAAATCAAATATGCAAGAAGTGCAGATTTGAAATTAACTTCATAAGCTTCCTTGGGTTTTTGCTGGTTCTTATGTCAGGAACTTGAGTGGCAGTTGCTTTGAGTATTATCTACCCATGAACCTAAGCTCTGGCTACTAAGTATGGCAGTTGCTACTCAGACATTCACAGTGGAAAATAAGATGTGAAATTTGCTGCACTCCTTGTTTTATCCCTGTAAATGATCTTCAAAATAATCTTTTCCTCCAACTGAAGCAATATGGCTCTTCTAAGTTCATCCTGAAGCAGGGTGCTACTGAATAATTACTCTCTGTTTAAGACTCCAATCATTGGGAGACGGTATGATGAGCTGCAGAGTTCTTCTGGGCGAGATGGTAAACCCAGGGCAATGGCTGTCACCCGAAGCACTTCTTCAACCTCATCAGGATCTAACTCCAATGTCCTTGTTCCTGTCAGCTGGAAGAGACCTCAGTACTCTCAGGTAGGTAGCCTACTATTCATTAGCAAGTTGCAGTCAGAGGAGCTGAATTAACACGTTTGGGTCCTTAAACGCGTGTGCCCTCTGTGCCCTGTGCAGCCTGGGGGCAGTGGCAGCACAATATCTGACCCTGTGTGCTGAGTGTCTTTGTTGGACTCAAAAATGGACTGAGTTATGTCCATCTTCTATCCCAAAGTTGTTTTTCTTTTAGCTCGCAGGAAATGCATCTCTTTCAGACCTCTTAAGTCTAGATCAGATTTAAGTAAACATGACACATGAGTTCAAATTTTAGCAAGGGTAGATAGCTTATGCAACTTTTAAAGTTGTTTTCTTGGGAAATTCAATAAAAAGAACAATTTTCATAGAAGTGACATTTGATTGCCTTAATGATTTTGTTTATCTGCTAGTTAAAATAAAGCTATTCAGAGTAAACATATTTTTTTCTCTTTTCTCTTTTTTGATATAGCAGGTTACACAGCAGTGATTCAGGCCCAATTCTGAAAAAAAAAAAAGAAATTATGCATGTGCTTAATTTTAGCCTTCTGAACTGTCTTCTTTGAAGTCATGCATATGAGCCAATGTTTTCTTAATATACTCAATGTAATTTATAGACTAATTTAAATATAACAGTAAAATCATTAACAGCTATTTTTATGTTTCCTTGATAAATAGTTGCTCTGAAAGCAATCCTTTGAGCATTTAATGACTAATTCTTGGTTGGTTCCTCCTAATTAAAAATTGCTAATGTATGTTTCTAGCCACAAGGTGAATGCATGGTTAAAAGAAATGCTCACTTGAGAACCATCTTGTTTTTTAGAAAAGGACAAAGGAAAAACTGGTGCATGTCCTTTCCCTTTGTGGTCAGGAAGTTGGGCTGAGTAAAAACCCTTCAGTAAGTAGCCTTGTATTGACCAATTTTTTGTTTCATTGTGTCCTAAGTGTTGAAAGTGAAGAACTGTGTTTCCCAGAGCTGCTGACCAGATTTGCACAGTTTTGAAGCCACTACTGTCATTATCCTTTGTACTGGCCCAGGCTGTGTTTCTCAGCATATGGACCAGGGAGTGGATGGCCCTTTCACTTAAAGAGAGCTGTGTGTGGTTTTCCTGTGAGAATCTCTGATGCTGTAGGTTTTACTTATGCCATCTCAGTGGGTAGAGAGTAACAACCTCTGTATTACCAATCCAGAACCTTTATAAAGTAAAAAATTATATTACAGAAATGAGATGGGAGGGGAAATGTTGTGTGTGTCTGATTTTCCCATTAGACACTAGTTCTGATGTTACTCTTTAAAATTAGTGTTATCTGGTACCAGGAAAAGGGTGATTGATCACCCAAGGTGGGAAGCTCTTCAGATATTAATTAAATATTTTCTGCAGGAAAAAGAAAATTTTTTAAATGCTTTTGAGCATGATATATGTCATTTGTATTTTGGAGAACAGGTCTTTGTTTCTGCAAGAGAGGAACTGTTTAATTTGTGCAACTAAATTGCAGATACAAGTACACTCAGTAGGAAAGAAAAAATTATAGCTTGTTGTATTTTCTAATCTTGACATATTTTTTAACAACTTGTTAACTGGAAGGGTTTTTTAAATGAACTTACTTTATTATCCCCTTGACAGTGTTTTCTCTGCTAAGTTCTCTGAATTTTGTTCCTATATATGTATGCAAACATCCAGGCAACATCAATCTGCAGCCTTTAAGAGGTAGCTGTAATATTCTTGGATGTGTTCCCACAGTATGAAGTTGTTTCTTTGTACAAGTTTAATCTGAAGGCACCTGTCCAACATAAATAATAAAGAGTGTTCTAAAAATACTCAGTGAAGGAATTAGGTGTGTACTGGAAATACAGTCTTCTGAATAACCAATTACAGCTTTTAGGAAGAAACAACCAGAGGGAACAGTTTGTAACAAAAGAAATCCTTTGAATTGTAGGTGATTTTTTCTTCCTGTGGTGATTTGGATCTGATTGAGCACCAGACGAGCTTGGTCTCTTCAGAAGACGGAACGAGGGAGCAGGAGAACATGGATGATTCAAACAGTGAACAACAATTCAGAGTCTTTAGGGACTTTGATTTCCTAGATGTTGAGCTGGAAGATGGGGAGGTACAGTATATTTTCTCTGAAACAGCTTTTTTCTTAAAACACTTTTATACTGCTTCTGCTAAACACTTCTTGTAACATAAAACTTTAACTGTGTAACTATAAATGTACTTTTAACTTCAGATTATTTATGGTCTTCACTTACTGTTTATTTCAGTAGCGTAACAGTAAAAAGGCTACCACACCCTTCCTTTCTGGGTCTACTTCAGGAAACACTGCAAAACTGGTAGTGGAAAATAAAGCCTCTGTTCTAGTACCTTTTTGATGAACTTACTTACTTACTTTTAAATGAACTTATTTTATATACAGTTTGTAAAGATCTAAATTGTTAAGAATATATATATATATATAAATATATATATATATATATATATATATATATATATGTATGTATTTGCTGATTAAAAATGTATAAAATTAAATGGTTCCAAATCTGTTGGTTCATACGGAACCCTCTGAAACATTAATTCAGGCCTTCAGGCTGCTGTTATTCCTGCAACTGCTGATGAAATCACTTAGAGATGTACCTTCCACTCTGCTGAGGTGTCTGTGATTTCATCATTTCATGCAGGAGCTACACAAAATCCTGAATCCCAGATCAAGTCATGACAGGTGAAGGCTGTCAGCTCACCTTGAGCTGAAACTGCTGAAGGAAAAAATTTGAATAACTGATAAATTTTTGGGGGCTACACCCTTTAACTTTGCTAGTATCAAACTGGGGTATTTCCTTCTATTTGATCAGGAAAGACCAAAAATTAATACCTGTTGCCAAACAAGTCTAACAATTTTGTTGATGTTTACAAGTTTAGAAAATTGTTAGTTCTTTTCAAGGACTTAAGATTCAGATGTCTTAATTGTGGCCTTGTTTTTAACATGAATTCTCTCAGTCATCACTCTTAGCCCTGAGAAGTACATGTATACAGGAAGAAATATTCCTTTTTCTACCTATTTATATTACAGTAGTAAAATAATTTTAAGATAAATAGAACCATCAGATGTCAACTCATGTACATCTGATTTTTTTTTCCAATTAAGAGAAAGGATGAATGAATGGGAAAAAAAAGTCAGGAATTTCTGTATCAAAATTAGTAGTCTTGGCTCAAAGATGCTTATGACTTTGCTAAGGAAAAAAACAAACAAGCAAACCAAAGGTAAAAGAAAAAAAAAAAAAAATTAGTAGTCTTGGCTCAAAGATGCTTATGACTTTGCTAAGGAAAAAAACAAACAAGCAAACCAAAGGTAAAAGAAAAAAAAAAAACACAAAAAAAAACCAAAAACACACCTGAAAGGGTAGTTGGCAGCAATGGTTGAAAGTGCATTAGACAAATATTGAAGGAACTTCAAGGTTCCAAACAAGGATGAATGATAAAAAATAATGCCAGGTTGTTTGGCAAAAATACACTGGCTTCAGTAATATCTGTGTCTTTAATGCTTTCAAGATATTACAAGGATGTAGGACTGCAACTTTGACTGAAGATCATAATATTTTGGCCACTGAAATTCAGGAATTTGTCATTACTCTTCACCAGTTAAAATTATGTAGGGCATATATATAATTGTGCACAACAATTTCTTTTAAAGTAAATTTATTGTCATGGACTTTGAGTCTGCAAAGATTTTTTTATACACGTGGTCAACTTCAAGACTGAGGCCTATATCAGTTGATATCCTAATAGTCTTAAGTTGGTCATGAAACACACACCAAGTTTTCTCTAGTTTTACATGAAGTAAAATTAAAAATGTTGAGTTTCACTTAGTGTTTTTTAAATTGCCATGGATTGTGTTCCAAAGTTTAGTTCAGACTTACTACTGTTTTAAAAATAAACTTAGACCTCATGTAAAAGGCTGCTTCTCTAATGACTTTGTTGAAACTGTAATATTTACATAATATCTGAGTGTGGTATATTCATAAAGATGAAAAAACAGTGTTAGAAAATTAAAGTTAGCAAGAGCAATATCAGTCCTTCAAAAAAATGCATATGATTTTAAGAGGCCAGTGATGCTTGGAATATCCCCAAAACACAAGGTATACTTGTTTGAAATTTCTAAATATGCGAAAGCAAGAAATAGTTATTTTCAGACTTAAAAGGTAGAGTTGAAGTTTCTGTGGTAATATTTGTTAAAATTGTAGGCAAATGTTTATCTATGATGTTTTTGATGCAGTGATTTTACATAGATTCTTTCTATTTGTTTTTCTATCTGTTATATCTGCTACCCAGGAGCTTCAGGTAAGAATGCTACTTGAACTCAGATGTGCCAGCATATGTTATGCCTTCTTGCAAATTTGTATTGTAGAATAACATCATAATTTTGCTGTTGCCTCCCCCCTTTAGTGTGGGTGTAGGTGAGTGTGTGTGTGCACGCTTGCATTTTTGACAGGTGCTTCATTTTTTGTCTTGTATTAGAAATACTTTTGAGGTCTTTTCCAAAAATTCTGCTTCATTTTAAGTTTGTTTTTAACATGTTCAACAGTCTTCACAAATTTAAAATATCTTAATTCTAGTATCAGTGTTTTTCAAACTGAGCCCTTTCTCCTTGTGATATCTTTGTGCATGATTAATGTGTAGAAATTTCATTATCTATAGAGTTTGGGCCTTTTGTTATTAGGGGCACCTTATATTTAATTTCTACCTTTTCTGTTGTGGCATATTGTCTCCTGTTAGCATCTTGCTAAAGCTGATGTCTGAGACCTCTTAAGACAGTTTATATTATTGTTATAAGACTGAATTTAATTGGATAAATAAATTATTTTCTACAGCCTAACTTAATACAGCTGTATTTTCCTACCAACTTTGCTAGACTCATTTACCCTATGAGGAAAACTGAAAAGACACATGAGTCATTGCCAGTTTGGGACCTAAATTTTAAATTTATCAGTGTATAGAGAGTACTGAAATATTAGAGAATTTAATGAGTTATACAAATAATACAGGAATCACCAACCACAGAATTTTACATATCTGTTTCTGATAGTTTGTAAATCAGTTATTATGCAAACACAACTCCCAAAAATATTTGTCTCAAAATGCCTGTTCTGTAAGAGATACATCCATATGGAAATAGTGCTTTACTGTGTAGTTCTACAATGCTTCTGCATACACCCTGCAATATTTGAGTGTTTCCATTAACTTTGCAAAATTTGTCTACACAGTAAGGATGAAAAACTTGTGTGAAAGAGGTTTTGCATGATTCTTACTGCCTCTGTGGAGTAGCCTTACTGCTCTCCCCTACATAGGACTACTTTCCCTTCTGTCTCTCCTTTTCCCTGGGCTGTTGTAAAGTTTGAAGTAGCTGCAAGGGCACATCTGCTTCTTTACCAGATGGGTAAAGGAGGGTGGTGACTATAGGAAGTTCTATGTGGTACCTGCTCACTGCTGGCCAGACACACTCATAACGTGACTGTTTTCCTCTGACTTGATGTGTACCACTGGTGACTTTTCAGATGGGAGATGGCTTTGCTCCTGCTATAAATAAAAATGAACAGCCTCTCAAATACATCTTTGCTCTTTCTTGTTAACTGTGGCAGAAAGATTGCTAAATAGACTATAAAAACAACTCCATCTTCATAGACACATGCTGACCTCTTGTTTAAATTCAGTGTGGTTCTGGGTGCCCCTGTAGCAAACTTATACTAATCAAAATGCTATGGGTATTTGAGTGATAGCATTTCATCTCTTTTACCCTCATCCCTCACTTTTAATTCACTCCCTGTTCTAACTGCATGCCCTGGAAGTGTCCCTTTTATTTTTCTTCTTTTTGCTGGCTTCCTTCTTTAAGGCACTGTAGAATAAAACTGCAATGGGAAATATTCCCGTAGACATGGACTGCTAAATTTACTGATGGCTTTACTAGGCATCATGAGGATAAGGGTGTGATGATAGTCATCTTTGCTTGCTTGCTTATTTATGTCATTTTGTCATTTGTTAGTTCAGTAATTGATGTGTTTGTTGAGGATGTCTAATTGCTACATGTGTCCTCCAGCCTTTGAGGGGGAGGATGGACAACCGAATAATTTGTTAAAATAAATAGCTTGGAACGGAACAGTCATTTTTATAATTTAAAGTTTGATGTGTTCTGTTAGATGTGTCAGATGTGCTGTTTTCTCTTTCCACACAATACTACCATGTGATAACAGTCCCAGGATGAAAACACAGAGTTCTTCCAATAATGTATCAGGCTTCATAACAATCTTCATCTTCATTTTCTCTTCATTGTAGTGCATTCCTTAATTTTAAATGTTATTGTGAATTGTAAGGGTTGTTTTTTTCCTTAAAAATATTTGTTTCTATTTTCATCATATTTGTTCATGAAATGGTGAGCTTAATGTCATGAAAGTGAACTTTCCCTCCTATTCAAATTCCACAGTCCATTGCATTAAATGGTAATGATGCAAAATAAGGTAAATTTGTGCAAGTTTGTTGATTGTTAAGGAGGTAAGATTGCAATTTGATTCATT